ACCCGGACCGGACCGAGACCGGACCGAATAATGTTACTTTTAATTTTTTTTTAATTTTTATTTTATTTTTTTAATTTAAAGTATTCTATTGAATAAAAATATTACTACAACTAATTTTTAATTGTAACATGCACTAAACATTATCAAACACAATCCGTATTGCATAAAATCTGTTCATAATTTTTACTTTGCATAGGGAATATACTTCTTCTTAGTACATTTTTGTTTTTTTGTAATATTTTTTTGAGTTTCGAATTATCTTGACCAACAGATACATTTTTTACTATTTTTGTTCATGAGATTGTTTACAATGTTTGTCCTGCGGATTAGAGTTTTATTATTAATAAATACAAATTTAAGTTATAGTATTGGTATATAAATTTGAAATGCATTAGATCGCTAATTTAAAGATAATTTTTACTTTTTCACACTTTTCATATTAAAAATATTTAAAAATCATTACAATTGGTATCTTATTTTAAATTGAAATGTATTTAAAAAATTATATTAAATAATAAAATCAAAACATTTAAAAAATTTAGCATTAAAGTTAAACTAATTTTAAGTATAAGAAAAAACATTAAAAAATATTTAAAAAAATAAAATCTAACCGGTCCACCGGTCCGGACCGAAACCCGGTGGACCGGACCGGACCGGAACCCGAATAAGGAAAAAATGAGGACCGGAGACCGGACCGAATAAGGACCGGTCGGGACCAGTCCGGTCCGGTTTTGGCCGGGTTTCGGGTCGGTCCGGGTCCGGACCGAATAATGCACAGCCCTAGTACATAATATGAATCCATCAACTCGCCAAGGACATCCTTTAAGTTTGATAGGGTTTGGGATGTAGACCGGTGAAAAAGCAGTTCCGTCGTCCTTTAAGATCATGATGTGGAGTATCATGCATGCATACACCATGCTCCTAATCTTGACTATGTAGAGGAACCAATTCAACCAAAAGCTCAAGCTTGTGGTTGTGGCCTAGAAAGAGTTATTTATATTCTAACAGACTACAGTCATAAAACGGATGGGTCGCCTAAGTATGTCTCATTTTCCCTTTACAACACCAAAAGCACGCTCCACGTCTTCTTGAACTTCTTGTCATTCAGATCAATCAGAAATGGAAGTGTTTTTACAAACATTGACCACTTGGGGTAGATCCCATCGGTTAGATAGTATCCATGTTTGTATGTGTGTCCATTCACTTGAAATGGACACTTAGGTGCGGTTCCATTCCGTTGAGTGAGAAATATTGGAGACGTTTGGAGAATATTAATATCGTTGAGTGAGCTGGGAGGACCACAATACACATGTCAAAACCATAAATATTGTGATGCAATCCCTTCGACTACGATGATTGGTATTTGTGATCGCCTCTCTTATATTGGCCTCGTAATGTTTTGGGACACATCCTCCAATCAAGAGACGTACATTCGATATTACCTAACATCTCAGGAATGTGATGTCTTTCTTCGTGCGGTTGGTAGAAATTCGCTACATCATGGCTTGTCGGCCCACGCTAGAACTCATTTTATTCATTGCATTGTAGAAAAATGGTAAGCATTTTCGCAAAGTCCTTTCGGTTATGCATAAAAAGTCGTTGTCCTCATCAAGAGTATTACTAGTCGCGAGTTGTTTTGCAAGGGACGTGACTTTTTGTATCGTTGCAAAACTCTTTTTCATCATCCGGTCATATTGATAAGTCCAATTTTTGGTCTTATTTTATATCTTATATTTCAACGTTCTTGTGCGTAAACAAAATTAAATCAAGAAATTCAAATAAATTTTCATGATAAAAGTCATTTTACAAATATGTTAATAAAAAGATTATTTCAAATTGATGATGACAAGTGAAAAAGAAACCAAATCAGGCTTTGGAGCAAAAAGAACGGATCAAAATTGCCAAAAATGGGCCAAAATCTAGCCCAAGCCTCTGAGAGGCGTGCGCCCCAACCCTAGGCACACGCCTGTGGGTGTGACGATTCGAAGCGGCGCAAAAATCAATTTTTTGGTGGAGAATCCAATCAAACAGAAGCTCAGGTGCCTGACAAGCGTGCACCTGGGATTCCGGAAGGGCTATATAAGCTGCGCTTCTCCCTGCCATTTCAATAATCCTCCTCCACAATTCTTTTTTTCCCTTCTCTCCAGTAGCGAGAATTCTAAAAAATAGTACTCGTATAAGTTTTTATCGTTTTGGGAGTTTCAAGTCCAGATCTATTCAATTCCACTTTTTCTGGAAGTTGTAAGTTTTCTGTAATAAACATGTTATGTTATTTAATTTGTGTACGTTCAATTGTTATCATGTCTGCTTAAATATTTTAGGAATGTGAATTGAAGTAGGGTAGTAGGTATGTAAGAAAAATAATTAAATTGGAATATTAAATTTAATTAATTAAAATGCTAAGTTGCTAGTAATTGTAGTAATGCTATAATTAATTTATTTGGTCAATTCATTAATTAATATTTGAAAAATTATTATATTCATTTGTCTATGAATGTGAGAAATAATTTAGTCAACCAATACTAGCACATTAATTAAACCTAGATATAGGATATAATTAATGGAGTAGTTGTGACAGAACTCTCACTAGACAATTAATTAATTAGTTTAATACTCCAACTAGTTAAAATTTCTGAAAAATTGCCTACTACATGAAAGCAATTCATATTCCTCTTTATCAATTCAATCAAGTTGTTATTCTGTTCAATCAACCAAACTTTTCGAAATTAGAAGACTTCCAATACCAATCATTATGCCTTGCCTAACTAATTTTTAATAGAAAATTTATTTACATGTCAATCCTTGTGAATACGACACGAGAATAAATTGAACTCTTTTAGAGGGAAATTTAATACCACTTAAACTCAATCTTCACATATCTCCCTTGAAATCATGTATACTGTGCTTTTACATCACCAACAATTTTTAAGAACAACCTTTTTCACATACGAAATCGATAACAAAAAATCATTATCGGAATCGTCCAGCGATAAGAATATCTCGAGAGCATCATTTGAGCTATTAGCCATTGAGGGTTTGAGTGAATGAAAATGGTGAAGGTTTAATTTGAGTGAGTAAAAATGGTATTCCCTCCGTCCCAAATTATAATGTCTATTTACTATTCACATGGTCAAATTTCATTCACTTTCTTTCTCTATTTTCGTTAGCAATTTGATAAAATAAAATATTATTGTCACTACTAGTTTTGTAGATCTTTTGATGTAGTTTTTTAATATGTAATTTTTATTTTTTAATTCTATACCATTTGTCATATAAAATGGTTTGAAAATAGTTTCAGTCAAACATCGTAAACCGAAACAGATGTTATAAATTGGGACGGAGGTAGTAGAATGGTTGAGTAGAGATTAAAATGGCGAAGGAATGTGGGGGGAGATATTTATGCGTGAGCATCATGAAAGGAATTTATTGTAATAAATGGCATGCAATAAATTCATCTAAGTCTCTATAAACCTCTCATCTTTGCCTTTATTACTTTAAATTTGTTCATTTTTTTAATTTTTGTAAAAAAAAATTGTAAATCAAAATATTTTAGAGAAAAAAACTAAAATAGGAGTAAAACATAAAAAAATGAAAAAAAAAGTTCTATGTCTTTATTCCAAAAATAGGACTTCAATGAAAATAAAATGTCAATCATGAAAGAAAAAATAGGTTTGATTACATTATGTGACATGTCTGATATTTAAAACAAAATCTTGTAATATATAAATTATAATTACAAATATATTATTTATAATAAATACTGCACAAATAAATTGAGGTGCAATATAACCACAAAGACTTTTTAAAATTTAATATTTTTATATTTATGCTATCTTTATATTAAAATTATTTTTTTGTAAAAGTATTTTTTTTTGTATTTAAAAAATAACAATACTTTTTTTGTATCTTAAAAAATATTAATACTTTTTTTGCATCATAATCATCATCATCACGTTATCTTAATGAATGCCTTTAACCTATTTTTTTGTTTCATGATTGACATTTTATTTTCATTGAAGTCCTATTTTTGGAATAAAGACATAGAATTTTTTTATACATTTTTTATTTTTACTCCTATTTTAGTCTTTTTCTCTAAACTATTTTGACTTACAATTGTTTTTATAAAAGGTAGAAAAATAAGAAAATTTTTTAAGTAGTAAAGGGAAAGGTGATAGGTCTTATATAAAGTTAGATTAATAAAACATTCTATGTCACTATTTTATCCATAATTTTTAAATATAGTTTAACATATTGATGTTTTCGTGTTTTATCATGTAGATTAATATGAAAAAAATTGTCTTATTCATATTAAAAAGTTGAAGAAAAAATAATGAGTGCGAATCGTAAAAATAGTGAGATGAAAAGAATAATTTATAAACTATAGTTATGAACATAATAGTTGTAATAATAGTAGTAGTAGTAATAATAATAATCATATTAAAAATATATCGTTTTTAGAGTAATTTGTTGGGGAGTAGAAAGAGTTTGAAGAAAATCAGAGTAGTTGGTAGAAACTGGAAAAAACTGGAAGAAACTGAAAAGAACTAGAAGAAAGTGAAAGTTAAAAGTTGAAGCGGTAAATAACTGGCTCTAAGATGATGTTTGGGAGTGATTAACTTGTGGATAAAGTGATTTCCACAAAAGCTGAAAGCAAAAGCATCTCATACCTGCTTCTCTGAAACGGTGTTATATGTACACATTAGTGGTGGTGGTGAAAAGCAGAAGATAACATGCCAAACAGATTAAAATCACAAGCTAAATTATTAAAAGCAGAGCGTTGCCAAACACTCTAAGTCATTTTTCATTCCAACAATGCATTGGGCTCAAATCCACCTAGAGCCGTGCAAGTCCGCCGGCTGGTAAAATAAAAAAAATTAAAAAAGAAAAAAAAGAAGAGGGAAGAAAGAATCTCAACTCCCGGCCTCGCACGGTGCAGTTTAGCCGCCCCCACCACCCTTAGCGGCGGTCTGATCCGTCTAGATCTCCACATCAGTCGCAGCAGCAGCCCCCCACCCTTCGCTTTAAACCTAACCCTATTTCAACTCATTCATTATGCCACCGCCCGCCGCCGCCGGATCTGATTCACATCTCTCGCTGTTCATTTCGAGTTTTCGTTTTCGCCGATGGCCGCGTCTTCGTCCCCATCCTTCTCCGCCACTCCGCCGGAGAATTCCATGGCCGTCGTCACCGTAACCGCTTCCTCCTCCTCTCGCCGCCTCCCTCCGCCGTGTTGGTCCCATGAGGAGAGCGTAGCGCTCATCGATGCCTACCGAGACAAATGGTACTCCCTCCGCCGCGGTAATCTCCGGGCCAACCACTGGCAGGAGGTCGCTGATGATGTCGCCGTTAGGTGCCCGGTCGATTCGCCGAAGACCGCCGTGCAGTGCCGTCACAAGATGGAGAAGCTCAGGAAAAGGTATCGCGCAGAGATTCAACGCGCGGCCCCTTACGGCGGCCTTCGCTCCCAACGCTATTGCTCCTCCTGGGTTCTGTTCAAGCTTATGGATTCCATGGAAAGAGGCCCTGATGCCGAATCTCCTCCTCCAGGGGACGAAGAACTCGACGATGATGCCGAGGATTTGAAGCAAAATACTGTCAAACACCTTGCGGGCGATATGTACAGCCCGAACCATCTGACTTCCAACAAGAGAACCAACTTTCAAGGTCCCATGACTAATGGAGGAACTGGTGTTCGGATTCGAATTCCCACACTAGCCATGATTGGAAAATTTGACGAAATGTCACCAGCAAACCCTAACCCTAACCCTACATTTGGGTCTAGTAGTAGGATGGTGTCTAAAGGGGATTGTTTCGCAAATAGGTCTGCAGATTTTGGGAGGAAGAGGAAAGAACAGGTGGGAGAAAAGAGGAAGGGAGACCCAATTGCTGAGATGGTGACAGCAATTAAGTCACTAGGGGATGGGTTTCTCAAGATGGAGAGGATGAAAATGGATTTGGCCAGGGAGTTGGAAGACATGAAGATGGAAATGGAGATGAAGAGGACCGAAATGATTCTTGAATCACAACAGAGGATTGTTGAAGCTTTTGCCAATGCTCTCTCTGAGAGGAATCACAAGAAGATGACTACGCCGGAATGTGAGATGGGTCATAATTGATTGACTCGCGACATCTGTTTTCCATTGAAGCTTACAAGATGCCTTTATTTATCTCTCAAGGGAATTGGCTATGCTGCTGTTTTCTCCTGGGAAATACTAGTAGAGAAACAAAAATGAAAGTTTATGATGGTCCCCTTTCATACACTCTAAAAAGACTCAATGGGCCAGAAGCCGAAAGGTGAACAAGTTTCCAGGTTCATTTCTATTTAAGTGTCTACAGCAGCCTAACAATACAATGAAGCAGAAAGGCACAAACTTGCTCCCATAATGTGCATTTAAGAGGCATAGAAAGTCAAATTTTTTCAATATTGCATAACTTTCTTCCCAGCAATTCTTGCTGCACTTGCAGTGTTTTCCAGATCAAATTCTTTATCAATGTTTACAAAAACACCTTCTAGTTGGGCAGCTAGAATTAGATCGTTTCATCATCGTCTTGAAGTCTTATGAAGAGAGAAATTGATAAAAATACCCAATCATAGAAGTTACTGACTATGCATGAAACCATTTATCTATATCTTTCCATATTTCTAAAAGGGAATCATAAGAAAATATAACAAAACTAAAAAAAGGCCACAACATCAACTAAAAATCAGTTCTTGATTCCATATTTCCATTACCTTGTGGGATCAAAACCAGCATGGAGAGCAAGTTTGAGTTGATTTTCACTAAGACTGCCCCCCATCCCATCTTCCTCAAATGCTCCAAAATTTTCAAATTGTTGTTGGCCTTAATAGCACACCTGACAATCGAATTCAACCCTTACAAAGCCTCTTTATATGCCTCAACATTTCTAGTAATCAGAGGCTTGCTGTACGGATAAAAAGGCCACATAATTAGTAATCCGGTAAAATCTACGTACATGAGATCTGCGATCTGACCAGAATGGTCAAGGATTTCACCCACGTTGAGCGGGACCTTTTTTGAGAAGTGATTGGTTCAGGACTCTGAATGGTGTAGATGAACAAGCCCTGAGCTAGAGGAATCTATGAGCCTAGAATGGTAATGTATATTGAGGTATAGCCTTAGTTTAGATTAGACTATGAGCTTTAGTTGTAATTGTGTATTACGAGTGTTTAATGATTGAGAAACATGAATGATTTGTAAAAATACATTGTTTTTTAGTAGCCTTCAGACCCAATAGTGTAGTAACTGTCCAATCTTATAGTTTCAACATTTTAAGTAGAGGTGGGACTCAAACACTAGATGTGTAAAGTTTGGGGTGACTTCTTTGCCACTACGCCAAAATGGTTTAATTACTTATGTGTGTGGATCAAGAAACGAAAATGTGACCCACACTTGTATAAGGATTACTCACACATTCACTAGAAATATATTCTCAATGGACGAATGGGTTCACTATTCTCAGAAATTAAAGCCTGATTTATGTTTTCAATTGTAAATTTGAATAAAATTTTAATGAAGTATCTTCACTTTAAAAATATTTAAACCAAACGTTGTTGTTAAATAGTCTGAGTAGTGGTATCACAAAATTTCACTCAACTATTCTTTTTCTTTCTTTCTTTTTTTGAGAAAAGTGCCTCTATCTTTTATTTTGTTTCCATAACCCGACTGAATTTTCTAAAATGTTCAAGAAATGTCACTTACTTTTTCTTTATTTCAATTATACCATTGAACTCTCTAAAATGTTCAAAAGTGGCACTCAACTTAAAAAAAAAGACACAATTATATGCTCTTGTTTTTTTAAATAATTTTTTAAAAAGATTTTCTTTTCATTTCTCAATAAATTTGTTACTTTTAAATTTTTCTACTCACAAATAGTACTCCGTCCTATAGTAAAATAACTTTGTAAAATATGACAATGTATAAGTTAAACATCCGTCGGGAAAAAGATTCCATTTAAAAAAAAACTTTTTCTATCTTACAAACTTGACAAAATATAAGTTAAACACGAAAACAAGAGTTTTTAATTAAAAAAATTTGTTAGATAAAACAAAAATTTTTTAGTAAAAAAAGTTTTTTTTTGCGGTGGAGGCAATATTTTTATTAATGAAAAATGACAAAAAATATCATACTCCATACATCACTCTGCCGTGTTTTGAGAAAAATAATTTTATAATTAAAATAATATTTGTGAGTGGCGTAAAATTGACCAGAAACATATCTGTTGAGAAATAATAAGAAAGTATTGGGGAAAAAATATAGAATTAAAAAGAAATATTTTATCTGTTAAAAGGAATTGTGGTTATTTAAAAAATTGAGTGGCTATTTTGAAAATTTTAAAGAGTTCAATGACATTATTGAAAGAAAGAACAAGAGATTGACATTTTTTGAACCTCTTAGAGAATTTTGAAACTTTATTAAAAGAAAAATAAAATACAGTGAATTTTTGATAAAAAAATAATTTAATAGGATTTTTTGAGAACTTTCTCATGACCCATTTTGTGAGTTTTGGAGATATGATAAGATATGAGTTTTGAAATCTAAGAGAAATGATTTGAATTTTAAAATATGAACAAATTTGTTTGAAGAGATTTAAAATTAAGATTTAGTTAGTGATAAGCAGGGGTGACCGGCAACACCGGTGGTTGGCGGTGACAATGGTAGCCGGTGACTGAGAATGATCAATTGTTGAGACTTGAGAGAGATATCAAACTCCCATAAAATATCTACCAAATTCGGAAATATCAAAACCTTTCATTTAAAGAATTTATGATATCCGGAAATATCGAATTCGGTATCTTTTTTTAACTTAACCATACAACACAAAAGAATTTTGATTTTTGGAGATATCAAAATACATGTATATGTTCTTAAATACTCCTTTTATTCAAAAGACTAACTTTAACGGATAACCCTATCATCAAATAGGCTCAAAAACCCTTCCACAATTTTGTTTGCCATCTTGTAATACCCTGTAAAAATCTCGATTTTTAAGGCCTGCGAAATACCCTCGTGCGCGGGTTCTCTCGCAAGCTAAAAGGTTTTCTCGCTGGGCTTGATTCAATCTTTCATCAGGCATGGCGGTTCTTGCTCTTCCATTGGTGACTGCGATTTTTAGACCTCGTAATCGCCGTTTCTCTTTTTTCATCGCCGCCGTGCCGTCCGCGCATCTCCTCCCATGCCGGCGTTTTTTCTCCCGGAATCACTCTATCTCGGCTCTGAACACCCATTCAGCGTCCCACAAGAACTCAGCTGGCCCCGGTTCTGAGAATCAAAAGAAGTCACACGTCCCCACTTTTCAACAAGCCATTCAGCGCCTCCAGGTTAGAAACTCTGTTAATCCTCTGCTCTCTTGATATGGTATTCCTTTTATTGAATTCATGATGTGGCAGGAGAAGGAATGGTGAGGTAACCAACAGTTTGGTTTTTTTTCCAATTAAGACATTGGTTTGTGATTTTCATCCAGATGGATATCATGAAAGCTAACCATGGTAAAGTTATAATGTACTAATGTGATGTGAAAAACAATCGCTACCAAGATGTTCTAGCTTACATTTGGCATAAGTGAAATATTATAATTTTAGCAACTTATGCGAAGGTAGAATCTTTCTGTGCGAAGGATGATGAACATTGAACAAGAGGTGTTTCCATTTGAAAGTATATTGATATCTAAAGTACGTAATTTTTAGATCATTTGATTTCTAAAGCTTTATCTTATACAAGACTGAATTGTTTTACCCTGATTAGGCTAACATATGAAACATAGGAAAATAAAAGGATGAATGTGAAATATATTGGGATCATGTCTTAAATACAAGAATTGGTATCGTACTATTTTCTACACCTCAGCCTTGAAATACACCCACAAACGACCTATTTTCCTATTGAAATAATTAATGATAAACCCCGAGACATATTCTTGATTAAATGGTTGATTTAAGAAACATGTAGCATACAGAAAATTTTTCATCAAACACGATTAAAAAGTCTAAAATGAATAGTAAGGCTTGACTTTGCAAGAACATACTATTAAAGACAATCAGACTACTAAGTCACACCACAAAGGTTTGAGAAGAGATTATCAAGACCTAGTTGAGAAAGAAAGTGAGCATTTCTATGAATCAGTTTGGTTTCATGTCTGGCCAGTCAACCACCAAGGCCATTCACCTCTCGAGGAGTCTGATGGAACATGATAAGGGACCTTCACATAGTGTTCATTGATTTGTAGAAGGCTTAGGACATGATTTATACTCCTGTGGAGGTTCCCATTTAATGTAAGGACATGTATGATAGGGCAAGAACTAATGTGAGGTCGTTACGTGGCAACTCTGACCAGGTACAAGTGGAGATGAGGTAACATCAAGGGTGTGCTTAGTCCTTTTGCTTTGGTGATAAATGTTTTGACGTGGCATATTTTGTGGAGGTACCTTGGTGCTTGTTTTTTATCGAGGACAATGTTCTAACAAGAGATACTCAATGATTGGTTAGAAGTGTGGAGATAAACCTTGGAATGTTGCTCCATTGGTAGAACGAGTGAGTCGAAAGTGGAAGTGAGNTCCCATCATATCAATGTTGCTTGGGCAAATTGGAAGCTAAGTTGAGTGAGTCAAAAGTGGAAGCGAGTACATTGGATCCATCATTAGAGGTATATGGGAATGCTTCCAATATCAACTATCAGTTTTTCATAATAATTCAGCAATTTTTGGAAAAGTCTATAATAGTTATGAATTTAGAAAGAATGTTACCAAGGAATTGATTCCAAGAACATCTGAAAGATACCTCTACTTATTAAGGGTATGCTTTGAAACCAATTTTTGCTGGAAAATGACCTTTTTTTGGAAATCTGTTTCATTTTCTGGTGATTGGCTGGAAGAGGAAAAAACTTACATTTCTGTTTGGTTCCTTTTCAAGAAAAATGATCAACAAAACATGTTAGGAAGTTTTTTCCTATTACATAAATTCTGTTTGGTGACTACCTGAGTTTCCGGTTATTCCTTCCTTCCAGTGATACTTTTACGTTCCTGCAATGGTGGACATGCCACCAAGAAAGCATCGGAAACTAGGAGCTAAGTTCAAATGATGTCACAAAGAAGGGAACAACAAAGAGGAAGACTTTTTCTGGAAATAAGTGGCAGAATACATTTTCTGTGACACTAGTGCCTTTTCCATTGTCCCTTGGGGATTAATGCCTTAATGGGTATTTCCTTTGACTGTTTTCCGAACTAACCCACCGGAAAATGAAAATGAAGTCATTTTCCAGGACTCTGAAGGAACCCTGAATAGGTATGTTCTATACCTGTGCCAAATTAGAAATCTTCTTACCGATACATTGGACAAAGTATCCGGTAATACAACATTAAACAACAACCAAACTTTAGTCCCAAATCATTGTGGTAAGTTTCATGAACCAATGGAAGTAGAAATTCAAAGTAAACAATGGTTTGCAGGAAATTATATTAATTATGATTTCGTTCAGGAAATTATAATCCAAAACAATGGAAGAACACATTTCTGCTTGTAACATTCGATACTCTCATTACTCATTAGGGTTTTGCTTAATGTTAAAAATCCATTTAGAACTTCTCTCTTACCGAGGAAAAAAAGCCATTTAGATTTTAGATTTGGTAACTAGAAGATAATTTCGAGATAAGTTGACACTCCTTAAACAAAAATGCATTTAAAAGAAAAAACATAAGGTCAAATAAACATCACAGGTGGCACAATGATCCAAACATGGAAACTGATTCCAAATATTATAAAAATGAGATCAAATAAAGAACACAAAATCAAAACCAGAGTAATATTGAATCCATAAAATTGGCATGAGACTCCCTTACCAAGTGATACTAGTGATGAAAGGCGAGGGAACATGGTAAGAACCCTAACTAAAGGTTTGCTCTCTCACATCATCGTAATAAAAAAAGATGATGTAATAAGCCTTATTGTGCTGGTCTCCTTTTCATGAATATATATAGATTACAAACCTATAAACATAGTTAAAGATAAGTAAAAAAAACTTTATTTATAATATAGAAGTGTCCTTATTTACACCTATTACCTACTTTACCTCATGTAAAGTGGGTAAGTCTTAGTCCATAAGAATATGATTCAAGAATCATAATGTTAGATAGAAAACTGCAGTGTAGGGGTAGTAGTGAAATTACATACTTTGTAATCCATTGAGAATTAAGAAAACTACCTTTTCTTCTCGACTCGTGATATCTCAGAGCAAAAGTTTCAGGTCTCTATCATTTTTCTAATACTTGTTTTTCTTAAAAATACAAATTTCTAGGAGTATTGGGCTTCTCTAGGATGTGCTGTGATGCAATGCAGCAATACTGAGGTAATCACAGGTAGCATCTTCTTGTTGCATGCAAGGTTTATGACAAACCTAGGATCCATATCCACAATCCCGCACATGCACTATTTTATGTTTTGTGTTTAATGGCATATACAATACTGCCCCGAATTCTGACTTGTGGGGGTTCTAATCTTTTAAACAGGTTGGAGCAGGGACAATGAATCCTCTGACATTTTTGAGGGTCCTTGGTCCAGAACCATGGAATGTTGCGTAAGTTTTCACGAACATGTCTAATCTCATTCGTAATTTTTTCACAATCTGTAGTATGGTATTCGTTATGCTAGGTGCAACTTTCACTCTTTCAGAAAGGTGATAGATACATTTGTGTCAATCTGAAGTCATGAAAGTTGAAGTGATTGTTTGGCTTTCTTAATAGACATTCATTTTTTTCTCTCTACTGGACAAATTAGATGCAGATAACAACCACTTTCAAACTATATTATAGTGTTTTTTCTTTTTGGTTTTTGGCAAATTATATATCCTTTTAATTACTTAAAGTCCCTTGTTACAATGTAACTCTGTAAGGTACTATACTAATCCAGTTATTGGTAATGTCAGTTATGTGGAGCCTAGCATTCGGCCGGATGATAGCCGTTATGGTGAAAATCCTAATAGGCTTCAAAGGCACACTCAGTTTCAGGTTATTTACTGCAGTATATTGAGTATATTCTTAATAGTTGCTGTTTGATGACAGAATTCTTTGCTTACTAAGATTCTTCTAAAACCTGTTTTGAATTCCCACTAGGTTATATTGAAGCCTGATCCTGGAAATCCGCAGGACCTTTTTATACAGAGTTTGTCAGCTCTAGGTTATGATGCAACCAACTATAGACTATAGAGTTAATTTTACTGGGTTTTACAAATTTAATCACCTTTAAAGCTGTTCTTTTCGGAATTCCTCCACTTGCCATTTTTGCAATTTAAGCTTTCTTTTTGACTCTGTACTTACTGGCATCCTTTTTGTATTCATTCTTCTAATGTTTCGCCAATAGGAATAAATGTTAATGAGCACGACATTCGCTTTGTTGAGGACAATTGGGAGAGCCCGGTAAGTTAGTCTCTTCATGCACATGTCCTGTAAGATGTATGTTTGCATGAATGCCAATTACAAGTACATTTCATCATTTTTATGTAATGGACTGCTCATCCATTTTCTGATTTAGTATAGCTGACGCTGAACAGTTCAAAGCCCTCTTCATACTTCACATTCACCAGTTTTAGTTGGTTTGCTTATTTCCAGAAATTTGAGTTGAATGTAACTGAATTATTATAATATTATCACTTGGTACATTACAAACTGTTAATTATAATGCATTGCTGGCTGTCTTCTATTTGATTTGGTGTACTGCTAGGTGCTTGGTGCCTGGGGGTTGGGTTGGGAAGTCTGGATGGATGGGATGGAAATTACTCAATTCACCTACTTTCAGCAGGTATTTCTATTAATATATCTTTATTTTTCTTTTAATGGGTTGCTGGATATTATAGTTGCTTTTAAGTTTCTGCCCGTCAATTGCGAAGCTTTCTTTTCTAAGATAATCCCTAAATTTCTTTCATAAAACTTGGGTGTTCTATTTCCAGAAATATCTTAGAGCTTAAGGATTAACTTGTTTTCCTCTTGATAATTGCTACAAATGTCAGGCTGGAAGTATTCAGTTGAAGCCAGTATCTATTGAAATTACTTATGGCCTTGAGCGTATTCTTATGTCACTTCAGGTTTGTTAAGTGCTCTTCTTTTTTCTTTGACTTTGGGGTTACTGGCATTCAAACTAAATTGCCCATATCTGTTGCAGGGAGTTGATCATTTCAAAGATATTCAGTATGCTGATGGGATAACATATGGAGAAGTTTTCCTGGAAAATGAGTAAATAGTCTTTTAGCAGTGGTTATTTTATAATCTGTTTTGCCCAAATTGAGAATTGATTCCTGACTAGTAATATGGAATAACCTTTTTTCTCTCTTTTATGCTTAACTAATTGCCATTGAGATAAAACAATGATGGTCCTTTTTTGGATCCTCGTGTTACTTCTACTGTGAAAAAGTGAAAAATGACACCAACAAATCTACCCTAGTGACATCATATAACTACTTACAGTTACAGAGATGGTACCTCATGGTGGACAAGATCAGCAATCACACCATTCCCAACAACCCTTACTGGCTAATATTAACCATAGCTTTAGGTCTCATCAGACTAATCTATCTGCTCAATGCTAAATACATTTTGTTAATTTTCTTTGATTTGATAGTTGCTGTGAGAGGTATCCTGGTGTTATCTGTAGCCCTTGCACCCCTCTCAAAACAAAGGAAACTTTTTTCAAATTTACCTCGTAACTTTAAGTAAAATTACAATAGCAAATTGAGGACAGAGACATATTTATAGTTTGTTCTCTAGCCATGATATTGAATCATGAAATGTTTCAAATCTATTTTTTTATTTAATTATAAATATTCCAAAGTTCTCTTTCTATGAACCATTCATATCCTTGCAAATCCCAAACTATAGTTTAGAATACTTATTTTATTCTAACTTTTGTTTCATCATTCCAATATCTTTATTTCGAACAACTTGTTAATGCATACTAAGAAACCTGTTTCTTACGCAAAGTTCTGTTTTTGTTTTTAATTCAGGAAGGAAATGAGTGCATACTATCTGGAGCATGCTACTGTGGATCATATTCAAAAGCATTTTGATTTATTTGAAGCAGAAGCTCGATGCTTGCTTGATTTAGGCCTTCCCATACCTGCGTATGTGTTTGTACTGTTAACCCTTTTTTGAAGAGGGTGAGAGAACACCTCATATAACTCTACTGTTTTTGGTAGGTATGATCAGGTATTAAAGACATCCCATGCTTTTAATGTACTCGACTCTAGAGGTTTTGTTGGAGTTACAGAACGTGCTCGATATTTTGGCAGGATGCGTAGGTAAGGATATTTGTGCCACTCTTTGATAATGATAAGGATGCTGGTAGAAATTCTATATTCTAGTATTCTCATACTGCCCTTGTATTTCTTAATGTATATAATTAATGTTCTGCATTGATGGTGTATATATATAGAGAGAGGCAGGATATGAGTTGAAAAAACCATACTCTCTCTGTCCCAAATTAGTTTCCCACTTTGACTATGGAGATTAAGAGAAATGTTATAAAGATGTTGAAAAGTGAAAAGTGAGTGGTTGGAATTTTTTTGAAGAGAAGTATTTTGAACCATATATCCTTTTCCAAAAAGGGAAAGAGAAAAAATGGGAACCTTTTTTTGGGACAGATGAAAAAGGAAAGTGGGAAAACTTTTGTGGGACAGAGGGAATAATAGTTTAGTTTCAATTCTCTACTTTTGCCTTTTTCTCCCCAGTTTAGCTCGGTATTGTGCACAACTTTGGTTAAAGACAAGGGAGAGTCTTGGCTACCCACTTGGTGCGATATCTTACCCAAAGCATCTTATTATTCCAAGAGAACCCCTGAAGGAAGCAGGACAGGTTTGCCATTGACTTCTTTGCCATCTTTTTTAGAGTACAAAGTGCTACTTTTTTTATTTGGGATAATTTGTATTCCCTAATATGGATAAGGATGAGCTGTCCTCTTACAATACTAGAGCGGCACTAGTGTTGAAAACAAATCGGATCAAGTACCCTGATTTTGGATTTGGATTCAATTTTTGTAGAGGGTATTCTTCATTTAAAATTGGAATCTAAAAAAATTCTGCATTTGACTCTACTGTTTTTGTTATTCTAAAGATACACCTCTTCCAAAAGAGTCATGGTTTGCCAAAGTATAACTATTGGAAATCAGCAATGCCTGCTATATTTTTATATATTTATGTAGGTTGAACTAAACTTAACATAGTTAACTAGCCAATATTAAGACAATTTGTTCAAAAATGAAATATAATTCAAATTAGATTCCTCTGTCCAAATTAAGATTTTGTTTGAGAAAATAGTTTTCAAATACAGTATTATTTTTTAACACCGAGGAAGGATTTGTGTTAAAGTATGTGCGTGTTGGCGGGCTAGAATAAGCCACACCAACTGACTTCATTGAAACCGTTGGAAAAGGGCAGTACGCCACAACAACCAACATCATTAAAACCTTTTGTTCATGCTCATGACTCATGAGATGGAAATATGGGTGGGAGGCGGGTCAAGCTCACACCCTGCACTAGAATTGTCTCCAAATTTCCACTTGTCATCCCTAAATATTTGCAATAGAATCCTATAATTGTGAAAAGGCTGTTGGACTTTTTTGCAGCATCCCATTGGTTCGTGGAATCCGGCACACCAAACTGCCTCAATATGCTTCCATAATCGTGCTTAGGTTAGAATTACATTTTATAGAACTAGACTCGTGGTTTTGACAAATTTAAGTTACATGTGTGCCACCGACACCCAAACTTCCCAAGTCATTGGAGTTGGGTACATATGCAAAATATCTTGATGCCGTCCAACAGAATTCTCATTTCCACTCTTTTATGTCCTATACCAATTACCATACACCCATAAAACCCTAACACACTAGCGTCACTTCCAGCGGCTCCTTTTTATGTCCAACATTTCAAGAATCAATACTACTCTTGGTAGTTTTGATTCTTACATGCTTGAACCAGCATCCTTGCTTTATCTTCTATTGCTGCTAGTCCACTACACCCACTATCGCATGAATCTCCTTTCCATGCACCGTTGAAAGAGAAAATTTTATTCATATATCTCCCAAGGAGGAAGCACTCAATGCATAAACTCCAGGGAGTATTGCAATACAATGTATTTGAATAGACAAACAAGGGATATGACTACATGAGTACATGTTTCTTACATACATACATCTATTTTATTTTGAAACACACTTTATCTTGTCTAGTCTTACTGCATATTCATTTATCACACATATCTCTACCACACTCATCTTTGGTTATTAAATCCTTCTTAATAGCAGAGCATTCTTTTTTCCATTTAATAAAATGGATCTTATAGATTTAAAATGTATCCTTCTGCCTTTAGAGTATATTACTATCACATACGGTAATATCTTTTTTCGCTCCCCTCCACTATACCAAAACCAAACCTGTATTGGTTGTGTATATATCACTTCCATGCTGACAACTCACCAAAATCTTGTTGAAGAAAAAGGAAGACTCGTGAACGAATTGTGCGGAAGAGAAAATGAACAATTGCAGTGAGACTGAGAATTTTTTGTATTTTCTTTAGTGAAATAGAAGGGATGCTCAATTGCAATTGTTATCTCATGTGCTGTTTTTTATGACCGATGAAGAAATAAAGGTAATATTTTTACCTCTTAGGCACCTGGGCAAGATTCTTAAGAATCTTAATTTCATGTATAAAGTGTAATATACCCTGAATCACACATTTACAAGAAAAGATGCCCTCATGTGGTAACATATATAATTGGAGGCAAAACTTCACCATTCATTTTTATGTCCCCCCTAGTCCTAGAAAAACATTCTGCATTTCCTTTTTTGCGTGTCCCAAAATAATAGTCCACTTTGCTTTTAGGGAAAAATTTATGTGGCTCATATTTTTTCTCTCTTCATGATTCTCAACCATAGAATTTCATATCCCATAACAATTGACCAATTCCACGGTGGAACTTTTGTGGGACATGAGCATTAACATGAACTCCAGGAGAAGAAGTATTCCTTTTTGACAAAGTTGAAATTAACCCCCCCACTAAGGACTGAGGTAATGCTGAATATTTTGTTGATATACCATGCAATGCTTTCTAGCAATATATACAATAGGATTGCTATCAACAATAGTAAAGGCCCACGAATGGGGTTTGGGAGGCTGTGTGTACGCAGACCTTAACCCTACGGCTCTACCTAGAAAAGGTAGAGAGGCTGTTTCATAAAGACCTCTGCTCAAGAACAAAGACAAAGACAAAGCTCAGTACCCTTCACTAGATAAAGGAAAATACAATAGGATTGCTAAAGGAGTATATCTTCAAGCTTTAAAGGAAAAATTCTTTGTGGCTGAGAAGGAATATGACAAGGTTCACCATAATTACAGCCTAGCTCCTGTAAAAAGAGTCTTACAGAGCAGTGTAAAAATAGTGAGACAAGACTAATTTCTATTTATGCACATAGTGGCTTGCTTTAAATCATGCTATTGTTTTACCTCTAGCCTTCTAGTATTTAGGAAGTGGGTCAACATTTGTATTTTACTTGTGCAACTTGTTGATTTCTTCTAAACCAGAGTTTCACATTCTGTTACATAACTTTAGGTTTTTCTTTTGATTTCATTTTTGTTGTCATGCAGGTGCCTAATGAGAAACGCTTCTTTGTTCTTGAGATTGGGACAGAAGAGCTGCCCCCTAATGATTTAGTTGATGCTTGCAAGCAAGTATTTATCATTCCCTTTCGCAACTCAATGCCTTTTTGTCGTATGCACATAAATTTTCCACGTTTTCTTTTGTCTTCCAATGTCATCTTTTGTTGTGTCACCATTTCTTTGTTTTATTTCGGACTTTGATTTTCTGTATTTTAGTAACCTTGTTTTTAATATATTGATTTGTTGGCTCTTCCTGCCTATTCGACTACTTTTTAGAGATACTGTTCTTATGCTATGTGATTTCCAATGCAGCTCAAAGATCTAGTCATTCAGTTATTGGATAAACATAGATTGACTCATGGCGAAGTGCAAACATATAGCACACCACGTAGACTTGTGGTATATTTAATTTCTTCCCTTTGCTCTTGGTGGTTTTAGTGCATTCTCACTTTGTTCATCTTGTACAAAAAAATATAGAATAAATCTTGCTCTCTATTGTGATGCCAAAACATGGAACATTTGGCATTTCTATAAACCAGAGGCGTGTTTGCTGTTACTAGTAACACACAACCTACCGTAGCCTTTGTTTTCTCGGAGGGTTCAGGAGGGGAGGGGAGTGAAAGAGATGTGCATTTGGTTGGGGGAGTTAAGGGGGAGGGAAGTGGAGGAACAATAAAATCTTTTGAACTCCTCATTGCTTCCACAATTGGGTAGTTATTTTCCCCCGAATTTCCTCTACCTTTCTTCCAATTTTTTTCTACATACTCATTGCAAGACGAATGTTTATCTAGGGGTTGCAATTAATTTTTGTTGTCCAACATGGTATTAGAACCATGCTTATTTGCCTCAGATTCTCAGCTGAAGTTTTTTTTTCAAAATATTTTTATATTACATTCCTGAGGTTACCTAGAAGAAGAATGACAGATGATGTAGCGGAAAACCTAATCCTTTCCTGTGGTCGTCTGACACCATTTGTGACCTCTGTGACCACTCAATGATGCTGCAAGCTGTTCATTGGAGATCTTACAGTGGATACTTTCTGCTTCAAACCTCACCTTGCAAGTTGCAACTAAATTACCAATTGCTCAATATTTTCATCAAGCTTCCAACAAGTTTTATTACAAACAAGACATTCTATTTTAGTGTAGAAGTGGAGTACCAAGCAAGGTTAATTGTAGCACAGAATTACGGAAATAATCAGCCATTTGGGTAAAATGTTCTCTTTGCAATTAAAAAGTCTTAACACCTTGTAGTTAGAGTTGGAAACATGAACCGTGATATAACTGCTTGAAATAATCTACTAATATTTTAGATCTTTCACCCTTTCTGTCATGCACCACTTGCTTCTGATGGTTGAACCCTTTGCGAGGATTTTCAATGAGATACTTGAGTAGGGTCGTAGTTCATTTTTTGCATTCTTTGATTAGCCTAATTTTCAACACTCTCAATTCATGTCAACATGGGGTTTTCTTGATTCTTTTTTTCGATCTCTAGCGTTTTAGTATTTCACTCTCCCTTGGCACGTTCTTCTTGTGAAATTTCTCTCAAGTGAGACCATATTTTGCAAGCTTGGCAATATGAAAACGTATGCAGCTGCCTTAAACATTGCTTTGGATTCCATGTTTCATGAAAAAAAAAACACACTGATGTTGATTGTAACCTCCAAAAAAAAACTTCCCAGGAATACTACTGTTCTACTTGGCATACATTTGAAATTATCAGGTAGAATTATTGCCTTCCTTATAGTTAAAATTTTAATCAAATAGTAGTCAAACACATGTAATCAACCACCCCATGATTTGTAATCAGCCACACAGCTGATCTGTAGCCAAGACACTCCACACACGCATTGCCACTTAGGCTTCTTGCTTCATCTAGAAGAGTCATATATGCATGGGGATGAAAAGTAGTATTATGAGTGGCATATCTGGAGTCAATGATTAATCAAGTGACTAGACTTTTCCTGAATTGAGATTTTCAAGATCTAATAAGAATGAGAAAATAAAGATTAGTAACTATGTCAGCAGTCAGCACTCAAGATTCCACATTCATCCACTATGGTTAATCGGTTTCCTTTTGTTCTTTATACCCTTATGCACACATCTACTGTTAAGGTGAAAATAATGTTATTACCTTTGCAGGTTGGTGTCCAAAACATGAATTCTAAGCAAGAAGAGGTTGAGACTGAGGTTCGGGGACCTCCAGTTTCCAGGGCATTTGATAACCAAGGAAATCCGACAAAGGTTGTACCCTTTTGATGTTTATGACCAGTTATATTTAACTTCTCTTGGTGAAAGGTGGGATAATTTGATTGCAGCTGCCTTTACCTCTTACCTTGTGGAATATGGGAAATTGTGATTCATAGTATGCATATTGGGAATATTTTACTGATCACGATTGCTAAGGCAGCCTCTTATATACTGTGATCTTCCTGTATATGCAGTTAGTCAATTATGACTTACCATAATTGCATACTTAGGCAGTTCTTTTGTGTTAGAGTTGTTAACTTCCAACTCTATCCACTTGTGTAACTCCTACCCGTTTCTTCCAACATCCAACTCTATTTATCCAACCCAAAAGAATGGAGCTTTGAATGGGTTCTCTTGGTGAAATGTTGGTTGATTACTTGATTTACTTGAAGCCCACTTTAACTAGTTGTCTATGTTGGAAATTGCTATCCATAGTTGCAAGTTGCAACTTAAAAAATGGTCTCTAAATTGTTTTTTATTTATAAAGCTCATGAATGAACTTGAAATCTTGAATCAATACTTATCTTACATATATGGTTGTTAACTTTAAGGATCTTGGTAGGCTGCTGAAGGTTTTTGCCGTAGTAACAATGTCCCCATAGAGTCCATGTACAAACGACGTGAAGGTATACACATATATGTATTTACCTTTTATCTTGATAATTCAACGTTTTCTCATCATCTCTTGATGTTACAAGTGTTTAGATCTTGCATGCATTCAAATATTTGTTATGATGATTAGAGTCTTTATCCATATTTATATGAGCTATGTATCCTTCAAGGATTAAAGCAAAGCAATAACTTTTTTTTTTAAAAATTAACATGGTACTAGAGGATTTATTGCCAATACCTTAGTCACAAATTTCATTTCTTTTGTTGTGATTTTCTCTCATGATTAGTATGCACAAAGGTTGCTCATCTTTCCTACTCATTTCTGGCAATAAACTTTACAAGCAAAACAACATACAAACAGTCACATGGGTGGCTTCCACACATGCAGAGCTCCGAACTCACATACCTATGTGTGAGGTTGTTTCATGCGATTATTTATGGTGGAAATTTCCAAATTGCTTTGTCAATATGCACCAATATGATTTTTAGATTTTTTTTGAAAATGTAGTGAAGTTTTCATGTTCAAATTTCAATGGTTCAGTTCAAGTCTTTGTGTTCGTGCTGAAGTGTTTGGGATCATTTGCCCATGTTAAAATGACCATGATCATTTGAGGAAGTTTAAGTCTTTCTTGGAGTGTGTTAGTGTGGCCAAACTCTGTCACAGAATGAATATCATGTGTTTTTATGGTCAAGGATGATGACCACATGTTTGCGTGGTCAGGAATTGTCAACATATGTTATTATGGTCTAGGATGGTCATCATGTGTTCGCATATCTCAAACTTAGAGCATGTGAATAACAATTTGAGAGGGATGATGAAATATGTTGGAATATGTTTCACATGTTTCTTGTGTTAGTGAGTATAGTCACGACTCACGAGTCTCTACATAGGACTCTTCACCATGTAAGTCTAAATGTTTCTTTAGTGAAAATTCTATCTACACACACATGTCTATATACATACATACATACATACATACATACATACATACATACATACATACATACATACATACGTACGTACGTACGTACGTACATACATACATACATACATATATATATATATGTATGTATGTATATATCTGTGTGTGTGTGTGTGTATATATATATATATATTATATGTATGTATGTACTCCCTCCGTCCGGGAAAGATCTTCCCGTTCTGACTTTTGCTCATTTTTAGTAAGTGTTGACTTAACACTTGAAATGCCTAAAATGCCTTTAAAAAATTGGCAGGAAAGGAAAAGAGAGTTGGCCGAACAAATATTCTTTCATAAACTTCTCTGTTTACACAATTTGGGGGATAGGTTATGGGTCTCTTACATCAAATCTTTAATCTTACAGCAAATCAAGAACCTACTTTTACATAATACAAGCAAAGATTAAAAATTTCGGATTCCCTCCTTTTTTAGCTACTCGCCCAAAAATTCAACATTCAAACAAAAAATCTGCAGCTTTTAAGACCCCTGCCCTTTCCCTTTTGGCACCCTCTTTCTTCAATCACCTTTCCTCTTCTTCTTCATTTTCTTTCCTTTCTTCTTTTTCCTTTTTTTTGTCCTTACTTCCTGGAACCCTGCAGACATAATGAATATTCATGATATCAACACCAAGAAATTGGATGGCACAACAAGGTAGTTGATCAGTGAAGCACTACTAACACATTCAAAGCAAAAATCAGATGGTTCATACTCAGCTCTGAGAGGGCAGATCAACAAGCTTGCTGCACAATTTAATGTGTCTAGAAGAACTGTGAGCAGTATATGGGCAATTGCAAAGAAACATTTACAGCAGGGGGTTGCCATTAATGTGAGAAGTAGAATGGTTGGAAACAGTGGCAAGAAAAGGGCAGTAATGGATGTAAAAGCTATTGCTGACACTCCCCTCCCGGATAGGACTACTATAAGAAGTCTAGCCCATTGGCAAGCCTAAGTCCAGTGTGCATGAGTGGATAAAAAGAGGTATGCTTATGAGCCATTCTAATGCTATCAAACCTTACTTAGCAGATGATAATAAACTTTCTAGGTTGAGGTTCTGTTCAAATCTAGTTGAACCATAGAGTATGCCCATCCAACCTAGATTTAAGAGTTTTCACAATGTTTTACACATTGATGAGAAATGCTTCTTTATGTCCAAGACTTCACAGAGGTTTTACCTACTTCTAGATGAAGGAGACCCATACAGAACATGTAAATCAAAAAGGTTCATAACTAAAGTCATGTTCTTGTTTGTTGTTGGGAGACCATTATTTGCTGAAAATGGAGAAGTATTTTGGGATGGAAAAGTTGGCATATTCCACTTTAGGGAAGCAGTTAAAGCCAAAAGAAAGAGCAAGAACAGAGCTAAAGGGGTGGTGGAGGGTGAAACCAATCACTAGTGTTACCAAACAAGTCACAAAAGGCATGCTAATCAACAAAGTGATTCCAACTATCCAGGAAAAGTGGCCAGCACAATTATTTAAAAAACATACACATTCAACAAGATAGTGCAAGGCCACACATTCAAGGAGCAGTGAACACAAATGGTTTTCACGTAAGTCTAGGTAACCAACCCCCCAACTCCCTAGACTTAAATGTGCTAGACCTTGGGTTTTTTTTAGAGCCATCCAGTCTTTAGAAGAGAAGTGTGCTCCAACCAGTGTGGCACAGTTGTTGGAAGCAGTGGAAGGGCCATATAATGCTTTAACTCGAGAAACTCTAAATAAAATATGGTTGACTTACCAGCAGGTGTTGAGTAAAGTAATGGAAGATGAAGGAGGTAATTACTATAGATTGCCACATATGGGCAAAGACGACTTGCCAGGAAAGGGATACTTCCAATGAACTTGAACATAGATGCACACTTAATTCAGAAGACAACTACACTGCTTGGACAAGACAATGGAACTACACATGAAGACATAGTTGAGTTCAATACTGAAGAGGGAGAGGAATACCTCTCTTCAGAGCTGAACTAAATCCAGGTTTATATTCATGTCTGGTTTTTGCATTACTTTGGGTTATGCTTTTTGTAAGTGGCAGTGAAAGTAGGCTTTTGTTTGTGGTTACCACATTTTGTGTTTTTGGGCTTTTGGTTTTTGTACGTGGTAGCCATACTAGGTTTTTGACTTTTGGGTTTTGTAAGTGGTAGCTGTACTAGGGTTTTGATTTTTGGGTTTAGCATAATGTAATGTCCTGCCGTATAGGATATGCATGTACTCACATTAAGGCAACTTCACACTTACTGCTGTATATGTAACCATGTTGAATGAAATACAAATGCCAGCATATGTTTCTCAATAGTGAAGCCCACTTCATCATTGCTGATGTTAATACATGCACACTTATACTCAACAAATTCAGAATACCAGTAAGTCCACATTAACTACTCAGACACATCCCACATTGGTATAATGGTCATCACAGTAGGGTTATGTTTAGGTTTCTCAGACAGTGCATAACAAATGTCAGTCATCACAGAATTTGGCCAACAAATTGCATATATGGAGCATTGTTTTAACATGCACACATACACACAACACAATCACAGCATCACTAAGAGCACTCAGAAACATCCCTTTATGGTAAAATGTTCATCACAGTACCTTGACTTATCTCAGACTATGCAAAAAAGTTTGCAGTCATCACAAAATTTGGCCAACAAAGTGCATATATGGAGCATTTTATAAAATACAGACATACAGAATTGACTTTTATCTGAGCATGTAAAATAAATTGCAATCATCACATCAATTGCCCAACAAAGTTCATATCATCAGCAATTCATAATCAAAGCAACAAAAACGTAAAGTGAAAGAGGTCAAAGTCACTCCTCTACTTGTACTTTGAAGTCCAAAATTTAGGATCTGGAGTAGGTAGCAGGATGTTGAGCATATCAATGTGGAGGTGCATGTCTGAATAGATCACCGGCAAAGCCACAGACCCCTCGGAATCATCACTGTCTAGAATGAACTCATTGCCCTCGCTCCCAAGATCAACACACTTTTGGTCTGGTGTAAGGTCTATTACCTCTTTCTCTCTGACCAGGGCAACATCGGCAGCATCGTCCTCGCTGTCGATGATGATGACCTCGTTCTCCTCCCTGCCATCAGAGATGATAGGGTTCGCAATCACCTCCCAATCCTGACCTCCGCCATCTTCAAACTCTGTTTCCGAAATATAGGAATTGTATTGGAAGTCATGAGATTCCATTTGATGGGCAGATGAAGAGTTCTTGGACAGGAAGGCAATGTAGATGTAGAGAGAGAATGGATGCGAGAGATAAGATCTAGATTTAGATCTAATCGGAGTGAGATGAGTGAATGCGGCGGGTGGGGGTTGGAGGGAGTGATATGAGTGAATAAGTTTGGGTGGGTGGGGGAGTAGAGAGAGTAACAACAACAACCCAGTTAAATCCCATAAGAGTAGGGTCTGGGGAGGGTGTGTGTACGCAGACCTTGCCCCTACTCGAAAGTAGAGAGGCTGTTTCCAAAGAGACCCCCGGCTCAACGTCGAAAGTTGCATTGCTTGACTAACTGCTACTTCATTAATTAAAGAAGCGCAGACAGTTTAGAGATCCATTTTGATTTATTCCATCACACCCCAAAGCCAAAAAATGGTGAAATTTTGGCTCCATCGGAGATAATGGAAAAGGAGTAGAGAGAGTAAAGTAGAAATAAATGATAGGGGTATTTTTGGTAGATTTGGGGTTAAAATTTGAAATGAGAAGATTAATTCCAGTCGGAGGAAAAGGAGAAACGGGAAGATCTTTCCCGGACGGAGGGAGTATATGTTATGCACATAGTTATCATGGCGCATGGCGACATTCATGGCGATGGCGCAAATACGGCGTCGCCACAGGACACTAGTCACACAACATAATTAACTAAGATTATCACATGTATAACTTATAAGACACGAATTCAATAGAAAAACAATAGAGTACTTGATCTAAATAGTCATGTTAGAAATAAAAACACAAATAAGAAGTTATTCCAAATCCAAAATGATCCAAGGTGCTAATAGTAAAACAACTTAAGATAAATTCAAAAGTAATTCAAACTTAAATTTAGTCTCACAATTTAAGATATGAATATATTATGATAATATCTCATCTTCGTCAACTTCTTGAACCATTGGGTTACTAGTTGATGCTTGAACCTGCCTCTTTCAAAACCAAGTCTCGGAGACTTGTCTTCAACCCTTCCGGAATAGGACATTCTATTGTGTATTGTGTTACAATGCCTTCCGATTAGATGTTGTTTGAATCTTCTAATCCCACCATTACTTATACGACCACAAAAATTACATACCAAGGCATTACTCGAGTTTGGTTTCAGCTTTGTGCAGTGTTCCCAAGCCATAGAGCACGACATTTTAGGTTGCAGGTTCCAGATTCGTGTGAAACTCAGGCTGTGAAGAAGAAGAAAAAGGTTGTCGCAGGTTCCCTCCCTCCCTTCTCGAGTCTGATCGGAAAAGAAGAAAAAGAGTACGAGCAACAGTTGCAATTGGGAAAATTTATTGTCGGCTGATTTTGACCAAAAAGAAAAGGGTTTTTTGCATGGGACCTGACCTAAGCAAAAAAATTGGTCACAAATGGCGATGGCGTGGCGATGGCACAAGCAGGTTTATGGCCCTGGGAGGGAAAAACGCCAATGGCGCATTTATGGTGTGCGCCATTCGCGCCATTGATAACACTAGTTATCACCTTCTCATTCGCCTAGGTCACATTCGCCTTGTTTGAAGGAAAGAAAGTGGTGTTTGCAGTTGACGAGCCATCGACTAGGTGTCCATGCCTCCCTGATCTTGGATGTCGGAATGTTTTTCCCTATAAAAATGAATGTGCGACGTTGAAGGATATGCAACACCGACCAGTCACACCCTGTCCTATTTCAAAATTGAAATCTTGGACCCGGCTTAATTTGGTATAAACTCCACAGTTTGGTTCTGACACATGGTTCCAAGACCCACACCTAATTGTGACGTTTCAAATGGTATAACACAAATGAATATCTCAACTACTGCAAACACTAATATCTCCTGTCTACCATTGGAGACCACTACTAGTGGTTGCAATAACATCCCCCACAGCGATTGTTCACCTCTACTTCCACAAATGACAATCACCATAAACAATTATCATTGCCACCATTGATGACCATTGTAAATGTTGACGATCATCATCTCCATCATCAGTAACAGCCTATGTCTTCAAGGACCACTCTCTCAGTCACTATTGTTGACCTATGATGCCATTGACGACCGCCATTGTCATGGCAATTGATGCCACCACCTCCAAAATGATTATTCCGAATTCCATATGCATTTCTTTTGCCGTTATTAGACTAACTTGTTGGAAGCACGAAGTGCCAACTATTCATCTTGATCCTTGTCTGTATAGAAGTGGTTTAGAAGTCACGGATTATGATCTTTTGCTAGAGAAGGAAATTGGAAATAAAGAATTACCAATGGTCCGATAAACCAATTATCTTCAAGTTCATTCACTTTGGCAATCCATTAATGCCAAGTTGTATGGTATCTTCAAAATATAACGCACTTGATTCCAAATCTCAGTTGCACTTTTTTTTGGGGAATATTTTACATTCTCTTAATGCTGAAATTCTAAATGTGAACATTAATTTGACACCTTCATTTTTATTAGTTGTCAATTGTAGTGTCCACCTTGTCATTCTACCACATGGAAGTAGATTTGCTTACTTTTACCCATCATTGCAGGTAAAACAGAATACATCTATGTTCGTGTAGTGGAGAATGCTCGGCTTGCTCTAGAGGTACATTCATCACAACCTTGTTTTTATGTTATTTTAAACAAGAAGATCCCTTTTAGCAACTCCCCCCAGGCTTGAGCATGAGTGGATTTTGGCATTAGGGATGAGGAGGGGATGCCACATTTTTTGAAACCTGCCATGTTTCAAATTATGCCTCCTTTTATAATTGAAGGAATCCATGTTGTTCTAAAAATAAATTGCACTTCTCCCAGTATGTACCAATTATGGATACAATATGAGACATTCTTTGGTATAGTTATGTAGTTTGTACAAAAATTAAATAATTTGAAAAAAGAAAACACAAATAGAATTTTGATTTGAAATGCTAAGTCAATCACTTAAAGATGTATGACATTATTACTTTCGAAGCTCAATAGGAAAAAAGAAGAAATTTAATTTGGGAGAGATGTTCAGTGTCTGATGTGAAATTCATGGACAATTGATGCTTATTTAATATTTGGAGAAATTGAAAGACTATCACATTATTACTGAATTATGAAACACACATTGTTATTGAATCTCAACCTTTAGATTCAAGATCAAGTTCTTTTACCCATTACTTTTTTAATAATAGTAATAATAATAATAATAGTAATTATTACAATAATGATGATAATTCAGTAATTTATTTTGTACCTCTTAAATTGATAACAATATTATCCAATTGGTGTTTAGTTTGGGCACCTAGTCTGTAGCTCCATGCCCTGGTTGGGTGCTTCGTCGACTTGGGTCCTAGGAAGATATCCACGCTTAATTGTGCAGGGTTTGCCTCGGCCGCCACCTTTAAGGACACTGACATGGCGCACTTCACGTTTTACAAATGGTTCTCATATGTGATAATCGAAGAGCATTCTATATTGCTTCTGATCTAGTATACCATTAGAGGACACTCATAGAATTTGGCTCTCGTTTCATTATAAAATAAATCATAGCCAGTTGCATCACTAAGAGCATTCTCTTTTCAAGAGATGCATTTGCAGACATTTTGACCAAATCCTGCTTAGACAAAAAAAACTTGGTGCATAAAATTCTTATGCTCCACCTTGAGGAGTTTAGGGGAATTTTGACTAACCCTTCGTTCGTGTATAAATGTAGGAACTGTGCACTGAGATTAACACAAGTTAATATAGACTCTCTTTACTACTACTGTTATGTTCAGAATATTACAACAACTACAATGTACCCAGAAAAATCACACAAGTGGGATTTTGGGGTGGGTGTACGAGCACTTTACCTCTACCTAGAACATTAGAGAGGTTGTTCCCAAATGACCCCGGCTCAAACACAAAAAAACTTATGTTAGCACAATCCAACAAGGTAAACACAAGAGAGAATGAGAGGAAAGGAAAGCTACCAACAGAGTTACTCCTATATAGGCCCATCCTACAACTTTAATTCTTGATATCCAAAAGCTTCCTCGGGTCATATTCTCGGTAAGTGTAGAAAACCACATATCCTAGCTAATCACCTCGCTCCAACCCTTGTTTGGTCTCCACATTCCTGGCTTCCTGTCTCCCGCCCCTCTTCATGTTCCTGACCTTCAGCCTCTCGTACGTTGACACTAGTACACCTCATCACGTATGGAGGTGTACTAGTTTCCTTTACGTTTTCTGGTGGGGTGATGCAGCTATAGGACCTTGTTCTTACTCTTTTGGTGAATCATGAATGTTGGTTAAAGTATCTGTGCATGCTTCATCTTGGCTGGGAAAATTTCATTTTTCTGTGTTACAGTTAGAGTCCTAGTTTTAGAAATCATAGTGTTTCACCTTCTTATTTGGTTCAAATCCAATGTATCTATAGTTCTATGAAAGCATTATACGAGTCTTTAGAAATTATATAATTGAAATTAATGAGTTTATATCAATAATGAAACGTACAAACTTCCAGTTTTGTTATTCACTTAAGTACATTAATGTCATTATTAGTGCTTAGTGGGGAATTTACTTTAAACCATGGAGTTGGGGAACTAAGTATTTAAATTTTTGTTATATCCAATTGACACTTGAAGCTGATTTTGATTAGGTTCTATCTGAAGAGCTACCGGGAGCAATAGCGAGGATATCATTCCCAAAGATGATGCATTGGAACTCTGATGTATGAATTGGGATAAACTTGCCATCTTCCATTTCCCATTTCTCATTGTTATTGTCAATATAGTGTTATCATGCTACATCATTTATAACTTAATGGCTGCTTTTTTATTAGTTGGTTTTCATCACATATTTTAAATTGTCAACTTGAATTAGTTTGTCTTAATTTCTCAATTTGACTTTTTTAGCTGAAGTTGTGTTGCATATTCTATTCTTTAGGCTCTCTTTAGCAGGCCTATCCGTTGGATTTTGGCCCTTCACGGAGGTGTTCTAGTTCCCCTTACATTTGCTGGTATTGTGAGGTAAGTTTACATTTGCTAGTTCCCTTCATAAAAAGTGTTTGTTTTCACAAATATAGCTTTGGAAATCAACAAATATAGTTTTAAGTTTATGTGTTTGGTTCAACCTTTGGGACCCCTCCTTATAAAAAAAGAAAAATTAATATGATAAGAAGTTGCTCTTTTGTACTAATTGGATTTTTTCAGACAAAGTAAGTTTATAAACGAGTTTATTATAGGACAAAGGGACTAAAAGTTTTTGTGGCAACATAGGCAGTAGTGGTTTTGTTATTTAACATTATGTTATGCTACATCTGGAGGTTAATCTCATATTAGCTAACTCTAATTAACGGTAAGTCGATTTTCAATATTTTTTGAAAGAGAAAAGGGCCATTGTTAGTATTCTATTTAAAAAAACTAATTTGCTTCCTAACTTTATTCAACATATACGGTTGGGTAAAATGTAAATTTGGTCCTCAAACTATTGCCCTCATATGATTTTGTTCCTCAAAATAAGAAATCTAATACAATATTCTTGTCAAACTTTATAATTCATACTCTCTCCTTAAATAAACTTCAATTTTTACTGTTCACAAAGTTAAACTATATATCTTTTCCTTATGTAGTTAATCATTTGTTACAATAAAATAGTCAATCCAACTCTTGTTTTATGGAACTTTTGATGTGGTTTTTAAATACTCCCTCCGTCCCTAAATCATTTACTCTTAACACACCAAAGTAAAATCCCAAATTTTTCAATTCATTTTTTTTAAAGATTGGTATATAAATAAAAAATAAAATTTACATATTTAAAAAGTATATCAAAAGTTCTACAAAATAAGAGGTGATAAGAATATTTTATTTTATCTAATGGTCTATGAAAACACACAAATAAACAAAAGTTCTTGTAATTTTTTGAATAGTAAACTTTGTAAATCATTTAGGGACGGAGAGAGTATATAAATTTTAGTTTTAAATTTTACACCAAAATTTAAATTGTTTGAATTGAAAATAAAATCACTCAAACATCAGAGATTGTATGTAGGGACGGATGGAGTATTAATTTTTGTCCTTTCATTAAGTTTTTGATGCATTTATCTGGGAAGTGCCAGATGTTATGCCACGTGTTGCCATGTTACATGTTAGCCGCTTGGCTGCCTGCACGATATTATTGTACAGTTTGTACTCCGTATTTGTTAATTGTTTAAATAGTTCTAATATTACACTTATACAAAGCCTATGCAGCTAATGGTATGTAACTTGAAACTTAATGAAAATGAATGCAATAACTTAATGAAGGATCAACATGGCACAAGAGTCAAATTTGAGGACTTAAATGATTGATGTTTAGGACTTTAGGTTGAAGATCAAATGGATTTAGGATAAATGGACAATAGTTTGAGAACCAAAAATGTATTTTATCTTGTAAAGTTACACTGATTGTTCTCACAATTTTTAAGAAAAAGCAATATGAAACCTCGTTTTAAATTTTTAATTATTTTTTCATGCACATTGTGAGTGCTTCATTTCATAAGTTTTGATCTTTTTACCCTCTTTTATTCTTTTTCGTAGTGGAAATGTGTCTCACGTTCTGCGTAATACTGCATCAGCTACTGTAAAGGTACGACTAAACTAACCAAAATATCATGCATCTATAAAAGAGTGTATTATGTCAATTGCCAACGGTGCTAAAAGAGTTGTAGTTGAGAAAGTTTTAGTTCGGGTGAATAATGGACTAGATCAAAATAGCAAAGTTTTGAGGGAGAGGGGCTGGGAGATAATGTTTTGTTGTAATGTGCGCGAATAATCTGTAGGACTTATGCTTCTGGAAAATGCTGCAGGTTGTAGATGCAGAATCTTATGTTGATGTGATGGAACATGCCGGTATTTTTGTTGATGTTGAGGTAATGGGAATTTTAATGGGGAGTTCACAAGTTTGTTTGCACTTTGCATGGTGCTGACTTATAAGGGGAAAATATGGCACTCACTGCATCATTTTGCAGCAACGCAAGAATTTTATAATGGAGCAGTCTAATGTTCTTGCGAGGAGTGTAAATGGTTTTCCTATTATGCAGACTGATTTACTTGATGAGGTAATTTCAAAATCTTTATCTCATTTTTTCAGTCTTTGGTTAGCCAGGATTAATACAATACATATTGCTTTTGGTTAGGTTGTAAATCTTGTTGAGGCACCTGCACCAGTACTTGGAAAATTTAAGGACACTTTCCTAGAACTTCCAAAAGAACTACTGATGATGGTAATGTTTCAGTCAATCCGAGAACTTATTTCTTATAAAAATATGAATTATGTCTATGTTGATCTGGTAGCTTGTAAAACAAACTTTTCAACATTTCTTAGTGTATTGTTTGCATGAATACCTTGGAACTTCTATAAATAATACAGGTCATGCAGAAACACCAGAAATACTTTGCAATGACTAATGAGAATGGGGATCTGTTGCCTTACTTCATTGCAGTAAGACATTATTTTGTCCTTCACCTCTTATAATGACCAGTTAATCTTGAGTGGTAATGGTTATTTTTTTATAGTTTTGTTACTGCATTGCTTTAAAACATTGATTTTGTAGTTGAGTCTATGTTAAGAACTTTAGCCTCTGCTCTTTTGGGACTGAGGAAGTATAATATTTATTTTATTGACAAAAAAAGTAATTTCACTTATAACTAAGTGAACAATAAAATGTTCACATAAAAATAACTATTGTGAACATTTTTAACAGAATTATCTTGTCAATGCTACACAATGCTAAACAAAATGGTACAATATGAAAAGTATGGATATGTATAAGTTTAATTTGTTATGTTGGAATAGTAGACTTATAGCATTAGTTCACTTGTCAAATGCTTAACAACATTTTGGAGTAAAATTAAAAATACTTTTTGGATGGAAATAAACATATTTATGCAATATTAGAAAAACAATATGAAATATTGCAAAATGATCTAATATAAGATAATTGGATTACTAAAATGGTATGCAATTGATTTTTTTGGTTCAATATAACCTTTTCTATATGTGATCCATATTTTTAGGGTATGTTATAAGTTCATATACTCCTATTATGAATTATGTATATTTTTTGCCATTAGTTTCAATTTCTTTATTAGTTACCTTACATTGATAATAATAATATAATAGTAATAATTACAATAATTTGTTTATTTGAAATAAAGTATCTTGCGTTCTTTTATGGCCACGGTTTGGGTGATCATGATTATCAATGTCACCCGATGACATGGTCCCGAGGCCCTTACCCCGCTCTTAAAATTGATGGTTCCTGCCCCAACCCTCGGTAAACCCCTCAATGGCCTGACCCAAACCCATCCCCTTCATTTGAGGGTTCAATTAAAGATGGGGTTTACCAGGGGGTTAGAATGGCAGGAACTATCGATTTTATGAATGGGGCACTGTATGCGCTCCAATTGGGATGCATGGCATAGGATGACATGGGGTTCCAATGTCAAGGGGACCCCCTCTGCTCTTTTATTATATCTCAACCTAAGTTTAATTTTGAGATATGCCTCTCTACTTTTCAAGTAGGGGTAAGGTCTGCGTTTACACACTTTCCCGAGACCCTATTCTGAAGGATAATTTTGGGATTGTAGTTTTAGTTTTGAGATGAAATCAATCTTAGGAAGGTCATCTATATAAAACTTATATAAAAAATATCGCCATTGGCATATAAATACTTCATGATTAAATGTTAAAAATTTAGTAGAATAGCTGTAAATAATTTGGAAGAAACTAGGAGTGGAAATAAACTTGAAGTTTAAATTCCAACTCATTATAGCATGACCCTAAGTGGATAGGCGTCTTTTAGCCACCTTTGATGGAAAGGGGTAATTCATTTTGGGACGGAGGGAGTAAAATCCGTTGAATGGCTCCTGCCTAAGTGGATAGGCGTCCTTTAGCCACCTATGATATTTCTCTAGCTAACATCGTCTAGGCCTTGATCGATTCCCGACTAATCTTGTCTGGTCGCTAGGCTCTAGATTCTATTCTACCGCATGGGGGTCATGTAAGGTTTTATAGAACATTGCTTTTTAGGCAGCCATTCTCGTTGTTACTCTCTCTGCCGTATTTGTATGTATTTATATGATACATGAACCATTTATTCGTCCAAGTAACTTCTTTATACGTGCATTTTCTTTAACCATTTCATTTGACATAAATTGTGTATCATACCTCTTTGGGATGTTTGGAGTATTTTATTTTTATATTTATAATTTCAAGGTTGCAAATGGTGCGATTAATGAAATGGCAGTGAGGAAAGGAAATGAAGCTGTACTCAGGTTAGTGCTTTCTTTTTCTTTTGCTTTTTTGGTTGTTTTTCTAAGTGTCTATCTAACTATGTATTGCTTAATTCAATTTGTTCCAGTAGTGTTTATTTGAAAATTACCTTGGCTCCTTATAATTAATTTTTGGGTGTAACTTCTGTTGATGGTCTTTTTATCTGTCTAGAGCTCGGTTTGAAGATGCAAAGTTTTTCTACAAGTTGGATACGAGTAAAAAGTTTTCTGAATTCCGAACTCAACTAAATGGGATACTTTTCCATGTAAGTTGAGTTATCTGATTTTTCATGTTTTGAAAAAACATATAGAATTTTATGCAAAAAAATGTTCAATTACCCTGAAGCCCTGAAGTATACAAAAACTGCGTTACTAGCCCTATACTTTACAACAACAATGTCTGACCAGTAAAATCCCAAAATCTCACATCCTGGGGTGTGTGTATCCTGTATACATAAATCTTACCTTTACTTGGAAAGTAGAGGCTTTTTCTAAGAGACTCGAGCTCAAAACACGGGAGCACAACGACACATGAAAGTAGCACGAACAAAGTAAGAGCACAAACAAAAACAAGCACACATGCAGAAACTACAAACTTAGGCACAAAAACACACATACAGAAACTACAAACTTAGGCACAAAAGCTCACATGCAGGAACTATAGACTCAGGCCCAAAGGGAAAATGGAGATTATTTAAGGTTGGCCAAAAAAGGAAACTAGGAATATAAAAGGGGATGGAGGAAGTGTATCATCTCCTACCCTGTTCACTTTTTGATATCATAGTTTGGAACGTGGATAACATTCTGATCTGGTGGAAGCAGGAAAAACTAGGAACAATGCTAGATAAGATGATGCGTGTTGAGCAAATGGTTGGTGAAGTTAGCTTGTCTCTGGATGTAAATGAAGAAACTCTCAAAGTTATCCAAGATGCAGCATCATTGGCCATGTCAGATCTCGCTACAGCAGTTGTTACTGAGTTCACTTCCCTCTCAGGGACAATGTCGCGTCACTATGCTCTTAGAGATGGCTATCCAGAGCAGGTAAGTGTGTTTTTCTTCAAAATTATCTCATTAGTCCTTTTGAAAAGTCTCATTAGTCATTTTTAAGAGTCACAGCAATTCTTTCAAAAAAGTCTCATTGGAACATAAGCAAACATATCAATCATTGTGACAAACAGAATCACTGTGTTTTGATAAATTCCTTGTTCCACTAAAAAACCTAATTTTAATCAACTAACCACAATTTCCAAATATTCTTCTTATTTTTATAGGTTGCAGAAGCGTTATTTGAGATTACACTTCCACGGTTTTCAGGAGATGTAACCCCGAAAACTGTTCCCGGGACAGTATTAGCAATTGCTGACAGGTGAGCCCACATCCTGCATAAAATTTCAATAAGAATTCTGGCATCTTTTAAAATTTCACTTTTTTGGTGAATTGTAAATATATCTTGAATTGTACAAGATAGGATGGATAAACCCTCCAGAGCATAATCATGGCATAAACATAACGGGTAGAAACAATAGTGAGCAAATGTCCAAAGACCACCGTGGTGATAGTCACCCAAATCTAAATTAACGTTATTTCTTGCCTTCCACACAGTGTAGAGTGTGCATTGAAAGCCCAGACTTGTTGCGTTTGAGATCATCTGTTCTCTTTGCAAAGAACACTGTCCACCCTTACCAAAGCGCTTGTCTCATGTCCTATGATCAACCAGTCTTGCACCGAAGTCCACACAACATTTGAGGCCGAGAAAGCAAAGTAGAGGTCATTTCCAGTTTCCTAGACTATCCCACACAAACCACAGAACCCGTTGATATCAAGAAACATCGAGCAATCTAAAGCGACCTGTGTACCCCTTAATGCAAGAGTAGTTCTTCCAAACCATCGTCATCAAAGGCTTCTTAAGCTGTTTTAGCACTTCGTGACTTGATAAAGTCTTCATCTTTGCTTAGAGAAGGAGCATACTCCACTACTGAAACTCGCTAAGGGGGAGAAAGGCGCACCCAGGTATTTGACTGGGAATCCCCTTTTCGGAAAGTTGACATGTCCCATGATGTATCCCTTTCCATTCCACGGGCTTCATCCAAGAAGATGTTAGACTCGAATAGGCTAACAGCAAGGCCGGAAACAGCCTGTAAACCTCTAAGGCATCTCACAAGATGACAATAATGTCCACGGAGAAGTAGTCATCCCTGGAAGTCTTACGCAAAATGCAGAGTAACTTTGTTTTATCACAGCGAGGGTGAAAGTTGAACCCGAAGTCCCGATGGAAAGGGTCCTAGCCTTTAGCATCTGGGAAAAATACTCCACGCAAGTAATGAATAAAGAGGGAGACATATCCCCTTGCTTCAAGCCCTTGAAGTACCGATGCAGTCTACCATTAATATACAAAGAGGAGGTGGCGGTGATGGCCTGCATAATGCAATGCACAAAAAGATTCAAGAAGCCAAGTCCAAGAAGGTGAGATTCCAGAAAGCCCTAATTAACAGTGTCATAAGCCTAATGCACCTGGTGGGAGACTCTTTTCTAAATTAGCATCATACCAGCACTTGGGTTGAGATGTTATCCGTCTACAAATTTATGGAGTACTCAAACAATTCAATATACAAAGAACACAAGTGTCTTACTGTCTCAAGTTGCTAATGAATACTGGTGATGAATATAATAGCTATAATAATAATTAAACTAAAAAGTGAAGGTGAGTCGATGGAGTGGACAAGTTGAAGAGGATTGAAGAGCTCCTATTGCGATTGGCTTAGAGAGGCAAGTTGATGGAGTGGAGTGACAAACAGATCCAAGTAGATCTGACTCATCTGGGGATCTGACAATGTTCAGAACAGATTTGCCAAGGCTACAAGCAGATTAAACGACTATGCGATGCCAAAGTGACAACTACAGTGCCGATGGAAAATGTGGCGAGGCATCAGGCACAGAGCACCATACAGCCTAGGCAATGATATGGCAATTCCATAACAAATATGCAAGCCACACAGCCTTAACTTTATGCTAAGGACCGTTTCTGAAGAAAAACAGAGGGGTCTGAATGGGTGACCTCCACGTCCACGCCGGGCCAAGAGCTGAGCATGGGCCTCTGTGCTAAGGACCTTTCCCCAGAGAAAAAACAGAGGGGTCGGAATGAGTGGCCTCCACAATTTTCCCATGCAAGGCCTCGTAGAAATCCACATATATTGGCCACCTCAGCACCGGACAGTGTGACACTACCATCCTCGTTAAGAACACAAGAAATGTTCTTTGAGGTCTTCTTCACAATACCATGAAAGTATTTACTATTAGTGCTCTTTTCTGCCTCCATAACATGTTTGCATTGTGCTTTTGTTGGAAAAAGAACTTTTTCCGGATCACAAAGGAAGTTGATGGTCCTCTTTTTAGTTGCCACCAACTCGAGAAGCTCAGGATTTATGGGGTCTTCCATAAGAATGGCTTGGATTTCCTTGAAGTCCAACTTAGCTCTTTTGCTTTTTGAGAAATGTGGTCATACTCCCTCTTATTAAGTTTCTTCCAAGGTTCTTTAAGAAACTTTTTCTTTAAGCAAAGAGTTAATTGGGCAGTTCCTTCCCCCTGTTGGTTCCAAACAGCCAGCACAACAGAGGAAGAAGAATTGTGCTCTAGTCACATATTTAAGAGTTTAAAATGCCTTGTGCCATGAGTTGCACTTGGAGCCATAAAGCAACATTTGGACAATTGTGAGACCAGGGCGCTATAGTAAAAAAGCTAGCATGGAAAGGGAAGTTAGAAGAACCCCAAGAGTCATTAACAATGAGATGATCCAATTTGACCCGCATAGTTGGCCCCGGTTTCAATTGAAAAACTACCCTATCAGATGGCACATCATCAAGTCCCAGTGTCATTCTTAAGTCCAAAAAGTCTTTAACTAGATATGCTGAGGGAGGAACACGGCTAATTCTCTCATTGACGGGCGCCACATAATTAAAGTTTCTCATGAAAGCCCATGGGCCAGGATGGCCACTATTGATATACGCAAGAGCTTCCCAAATAAGACGTCTCTCCGCAACAGAGGACAAAGCATAAACCAAAGTAACAACAAAGTTAGCTTGGGAGACAAGGCACTTCCCCTGACAATGAATAAATTGTTCACTAGCTTCTTTTTTTGTGATGCTTTTAGGAGTAGTTGGTTCACTTGGTTGTTTATTAATCCACCTTTCATGTAGGGCTATAAACGGGTAATATCCGTGGCAGATATGGCATATCCAAATCCGAATCCGATTAAGTTTTGAGGTATCTGAATGCGTATTCGTATCGGACAAATATTTACATTTCTATCTCCGAATTCGTAACCTAGGGATAATGCTCAATTTCGGATATATCTGGATCCGATTATATATCCGAAACAGACCAAATATCTGAATCCGACCGAATGTCAATGTGTTCAAACCCATAAACAAAAATGTAAGATGGGGGCAGAGAGATTCGAACCCAACACCTCCAACCTTGAAATACAAAGTTCTAGCCATATGTCGTGTTCTAATTTTTTTAACAAAATAATCTACATCTAATAGTAATGCTTTGTATTTCTTCTTTAAATAAACTTTGTATTCTTTATAATTATAGGTGTTCTTATGTTATGTCATAATATTTTATTTTATTTAAAATTTGTTCAAAAAACTTGGCAAGTTTTTTTAATACATAAATACGAATATTTTATACCAAGATATGGTTCGTTGACTTGAGTCAACCCGGTTTGATTGGTTGACGCTTGACCCAGTTGCTAGTTCCGTTCGACGTCCGATCTAGTTTTCAGAACAATGCCGAATATCCAAAAGTGTTAATAAAAAATTCAAATGATTATAAAAGGTTTGTGAAAGCGAATACTGAAATCAACAATATTGAACAACATCGAATACGTGAGAAAACTACTGTTTAAATAGTAAATACTTAACCAAAACAAATGATTTGAACAAAAATATAAGTTCATAATCAACCAAGTACTTTATGGAAGTAATGGTAAGACACTAAGGTTAAGGACTTGGGTTGCGTTCCGTTTGCCTGATCTGAATTGTTTCTTTGAAGATCTGGTCTGATCTGATTGCTGTTACAATTAAATTTGTTTATGATATGATCTGATCTGATTATAATTAGAATAAGTAATAAGCAGAAAAAATGAGTTGAACGGAATGCTGCCTTAGAGGGTAAGGTATATTTTTGGATATATGGGCCAAGTATAAATGTATAATGGGCTGAGTAGAGGATTATATTGATTTAAATAATGTTAATTCGGTATTAAGATAAACGGATATTTGGATAAACGGTTTCTAGACGGATGTATATTCGGATCGGGTTTTAAACGGATCGGATATACAATTACCAGATCCGTATCCTTTTAGTTATCGGATGTCCTAAATTGGATATGAATAATATCCATTTAAAACGGATGCGGATTATTCCTGTTTAAACTGATATGGATGCGGACGGTAATTGAATTTTTGGTTATCCATTGACAACCCTACTTTCATGCCATGCAATCAAGAGTCTGTTGGGATTACCCAACTTATATCCTAGCTATTCTTGTTATGATTATGTATCAATGTGATGATTGTAACCCTCATTTGTAGTTATGTTATCTTTTGCTCTTAACTTAGAAAGTTCCCAAAGTTCATCCTAACTCATACAGTGCATGTCAATATGTGATTGGTAATTTGGTAAATATAACGTCTTTTTTATTGTCTTCCCGTGTCAGGGTTCAATTTATTTAATCCCATACAATGTTAAACTGCAGGTTGGACAGCCTTGTTGGCTTGTTTGCTGCTGGTTGTCAACAAAGCTCCACTAATGATCCCTTTGGCTTGCGCAGGATTGCTTATGGTCTTGTATGTCTTGTAATCTCAAATAGTATGGTCAGTTTTGAATTTGTCAATAATTCTCATTTGTCTATTGTAGGTGCAACTTTTGGTTGAAACTGACAAAAAAGTGGATTTAAGACAATCTTTGCAACTTGCTGCTGCTGGTCAGCCTATAAAAGTACATGCGAGGACAGTTGATGATGTATGACCTTGCATTATCCTATCTTGGAGTTTCTAGAATCAGAAAAAAATTTAATTTTTTTTGATGCTCTATGATTTCTGTATTGCTCGAGCTGAGGTCTTTTGGAAACAGCCCCTACTTTTAGGTAGGGATCAGCTCTGCCTACTCACACCCTCCCTAGACCCTACTTTTGTGGGATTCTACTGGGTTGTTTGATACCATATGCTGCGTAGGCACATTCAACATGCTCAGTCTTAGTCTTCCGTACATTGAATGTGCTTATGCGATATATGACTCCAAAAAAATGATAAAAAAGCCATGTTCGCGAGCTTCCAGCCACAGAGTTGAGGTTGAGGATGCTGAGGTGGATGTGTAGTCTGTGTTGATGTTAAGTTGCGAGAAGTTAGACTAAGGTGGTTTGGGCACATTAAGAAAGGGGAGTGCAGAGGCCCGTGTTAGGAGATGCAATAGGCTTGTGGTAGAGAACATAGTGTGGGGTAGAGGTAGACATAAAGAGTTCGAAGAAGGTGATTTTACAGGACCTATGATTTCAGGATCTTATCGAGGATATGATCTTAGATAGGAATGCCTGTAGATCTAGGATTCGAGTAGTAGGGTAGACATGATCTTGATCGTACTTCGTTTGTGCTGCTGTGCTTTCTTTGGTTGTACTTTTGTGTCTAAGCCAGTGGTCTCATGGAAATAGCCTCTCTACTTCATAGAAGGGGTAAGGTCGTCATATACTCAGCCTCTAGACCCTGGATTGTACTGGGTTTGTTGTATGCTTCGTAAGCATGAAATTTTGTAGTCAAAATGGATGAACTTTGATAATCGGTTAAATAAAGATTGCATTACTTATTCATAAAAAAATGATTTAATTTGATTTGTCTTGTAAAATGTTTTCAAAAAATTATTTTATACTTCGTATCTGAAAGGGTTTCCCTTATTGACTTTTTGGGAAATTAATGGAGAGATATTTTGTGTTGACTTTCTAAAAATACCCTTGATGTGATGGGTAAAAGTGAGATGTGATGAATAGATTATTAGTAAAAAGGTATGATGTGATAGGTAGGATATGAAAAAGTAAGGGGTAAAAGTGGGTTTTTAATAGATAATGGAACATCTTTTGGGGCAACAAAAAAAATGAAAGGGGAAGATCTTTTAGGGACGCAGGAAGTATTATTAATATGCAATGTATTTATTTGATTGATGATCAAAGTTTGTCACTTAAAAAAATCAAACTAGAGAAACAGACTAGGACTGAGAGATTATATTGCAATTTCACATGGTTGAGAAATAAACTTAACAAACTAAGATTTTATTTCAATGTGCCTCAGTCTGCAGGGAACTTGTATGTCGCAGTGGATACTTTTTAATGGTTTAGATGATCTATTTTCGCTTTTCAACTGTTCCTCGCTCTCTACACACCTGTTTTGTGCCTTGTGCACTGTCCCTTAACTGTGCACTTGTCACCATGTCTGAAGTTGATTTTGCCTGATGTATAGGTGCATCAGTTTGTGACCCGAAGATTAGAACAATATCTGGTATGTGGATCATTCACCTCATACAACTTCCACTTGCTCATGCTGAATGTATCTGATTATTAGTGTGTGCTTCTACATTTTGTGTGTGTGCATATAATTATATTGGAACAGGTTCCGGACTCTCAGTTTCAGACACATATTACATTTTCTTAATTGCAGATGGATAAAGGTATAGGCCCTGAAATAGTTAGATCTGTTCTTGTGGAGCGTGCAAACTGGCCTCATTTGGCAACCAAGTCTGCACAAAAAGTAAGTTGCATATACGTACATAGTATAGATATCATTCTGTCTTTCTAAAAAGGCGATTCAGTCAATGGGCTAAACACTTCCCACAAATTTGTAAAAGATAAAAATACCCCAACACAGCCAGCACTAGCAACTCAAAATGAATTTTTTGGGCCAACACTAATCACACGCTCTATGAGAGCATATTCCAAACACTCTTCATTGTTCTTAGTAAAGATTGTCAAAAACTCCTCATTGTTTTCGGCGAGTGGTTCTTTAATAATACCCTTTCAACCAACACCTATAGACCACTTTTTTTTTTTTGAATAACAACGCCTATAGAAATCTGAATGCTCCTCATTGGGATCAGTTAATGTTTGCTGAATGCTCTTCATTGTTTTCGGTGAGAATGAGTTGAACTTTTTTTCAAATTGTGATGTGTTAAGTAAACTATGGGGTGCAGATAGACGCACCCTTATGGTCTATTTTGACAGAGGGTTAGGTGGGGAAGGGCTGGAAGGCAAAGGCGGGAATGCTTAGTCTATATTGTGATATAGACTTAGTCTAAGCCTTCGAACCCCCTACATCCAGACATTATCCGTAGTGAATTCCATTTCCTTCAGCATGATACTTATTTTATCTTTCTTGTTCGGAATGAACCACAGATGCAACACTTGTCAAAAGGTGAACTTGTGGCCAGGGTTGTGGAAGTATATTCTCGTCCAACGAGAATTGTGCGTGGCAAGGATGTGAATGCTGATGGGGAGGTATTTTATGCCCCACATGGCTTATTTGTCATGAATTATGGTTTTGTTATTGCATTTTGATTTTTCTTTGACTAAATAATAATCGATGTGCATTTTTTCCAAAAATGCTGGATTTCTTTAATGACTCATGAACACTATATAAATCTTGAGATCTTGTGAGTCTTTATCAGAAAGGGTTATAGTTAAACTCATAAAGACTACCGGTGCCCCCCCCCCCCACCCGACTTATTTTGTCCATTGGTGGGGATGGAACTTTCCAAATAAAAATAAGATCAAACCTCATGATTTCTGTAAAAGAATGAGCTATGGACATTGGTTCACCATGCATGCATGGGTATTGTACTCATAGTTGTGAATGGCGCTCGCCATTAACGCTTATGGCGCCAAAGGCGCTGTGGCGAGGTGTTTCCGCCATTGCTCACTGTGGTGAAGAGAGGCGGTCACTTCTGTAGCCTGTGTTTCTGGCGAGAAGCGTGCGCCATCTGCGCTCTGCGTTTGGAGCGGCACAGAAGTCTTTTTTTGCGGCGATTTGGAGCAATAGGCGAGCGGGTCGACTCGGATAAAACCAGCGATGCTTAGGATCGCTAGACCTAAACGATCCGACCTTGGGAAAATACAGCAGGTTGGGTCGGGCCGCAAGATCTGGTCCTCCGTAGGTGTCGTTTGCTCTCCTCTCTTTTTTTTCTCTTTTTTATGTAGTATTTTTTAAAATTGGATATTTCCTTTTTTTTCCTTGTTTTTTAAAATTGCTTTGTAACGTGTGGGAGTGGGTTTCATTTTTTGATTTTCTGATATGTTTGAATTTCCAGTCTCCCTAACTTTCTTCTCCTTTTTTCCTTCCTTTTTTTCTTTTGTTTCCTTTTTTATTTAAATTTACTTAATAACATATAACTTCCTTTTTAATTCATGTTTATTATTATTGTTGTTGTTGTTGTTGTTGTTGTTATTATTATTATTATTATTATTATTGTTATTATTATTATTATTATATGTTCTCCATTTGACCGCCCGCTTTTTGCCACGCCTCTCGCCATTAAAAAGGTCCTCTCGCCCGCCCCTCGCCACTCGCCATTAAGAACTATGATTGTACTACATCTGCTACACTGACATTATTCCATTCTTTTTTTGTGCTAATTCTATGTTTAGGTGGACGAAACATCTTTTGAAACAAATGAAGAACATCTCCTATGGAACACTTTCTTGTCATTAAGAAGCATTATTCATCCTGGTATTGTGCAAGATATACTCTAATTAATGTCTATTTAATGTCTTAATCTGACTATTTCTTTAAAACAAAGTATTGCGACGGTCTTTGTGGATGTTAAAACAATTTGATTTATGCTCAGTTCTTAAAATGTCAGAGTGAAGAGAGTAATGTTGTAGTTTAATGGAGTGCTTGGTGTGATACTGCATGGCCTTACATCATATGCCCTAAGTTACTACTCATCAGTTCAATTTATTTTCTTATTATTATTTTATGATCAAAGAGCTGTGGCACTTCTTATTTTGTATAGCTTTTGATTTACTTTGTAAATATTTATGTACTGTTTGCTAATATGAGATTAATTGTTTCAAAAATGAATTAAAAATATCTTCAATTTTGTCTAGTTGTACGAGTAAGACACATAAAATATGATGAATAGAGTAATGGATACTGCCAAACAGAGTTGTGTTTCATTTTGTTTTCCCAAAAAACATGTATGGCTCAAAAAATGAGAATAAGTTTTTATGTAAATAGAAAAGCTTTTGAACAAGCTAAAGTTCTAGTAGTTACAACTTCCTTCATTCAAAAAAAGAGTCCAATTATTTGGGCACATTTTTAAAATGTGAAAAGTTTGTTTGGAATTTATGCAGAGGAGAGAGAGCGAGAATCTGAGCAAAATAAAACTTTTCCAATATACAAACTGGCACGTATTTTTGGGACACATAAAAAGAAAAACATGCAGGTCTGTTTGGGACAGAGGGAGTTTATTAGTTATTTTGTTAGCACTTGACTTTATTACCACCGTGGCCTCGAATTAGTTAGTAGCATCTTTGTTGTTTTAAAACATGTATGAGAGTTTGAGTTTATTTGTTAATGTTTGCTCTTGAGCAGATATGGAAGTGGATCAATTTTTTGAAGCATCTCTCGAACTCGTAGAACCCCTTGACATTTTCTTCAATCACGTATTTGTAATGGTGGTATGTTTTTATTTCCTGAACTCTTTGTTATGCCTATAAAAAAAATTCTGTGGTGACTTCATGTTGTGCGTTGTGGAATTTTACCCATGACTACTCTCTAACATCATCATTAGCTCATCAATGACATTATCATCTTTACTAATACAGACACACGTGTGCGTATTATAGCTCACTTATATAATTATCTAATCAAGAGCTTAATTGGACATATTCACTTCTTCACATGGTCTGATAATCTATTATCTGGCAAACTTGCACTTCAGTATCATCAACGTTCTCCCTGATGTTTGAAGCTCTCTTTGTAATCTGCCAAACAAGATGAACCAGGGCACCCCTTGTTTCTGGGTCCTTGAGGATTAGTAAGAAAGCTTTCAATCACCCACTTTGGACTCTTCCATAGTTGGACCTCTTTGCCTAGTTCAATCAATATTATCATCTAGGCGATAACAATGCTTTTGAACAACAAGATCGGCAAGTGATACTCGTAGTTCTTATAAATTTTGATGATATAATTTTGATTTTCTTGAAGGGCGTTCTTCAAACCAAGAACTTGTATGCTCTTTTAAGAATTCAATATCTCCTCTTGAGTAGGGTGCGTACAAGATAACTTATTAATGAATTGGAGTTGTCACCTTGTTGAGTTTATGAAATTCTTTTTACGAAATGCATATTTTCAAAAAAAAAAAGTTCAATATAATTGACGCAAATGGCAATATACACAAACATCGGGACCAGGCCAATGCCTTATACACAAATGACATTCCAAGTCATTATAATGTTAATTTTTCTATGGCGAATATTAAGCAAACAGATTCAGATGTGTCCAAATTACATGGCCATGGAAGACAATGAGATCTCTTCTACAAGAGGGTACTGTATAGTGCAGTAACAAAGTTAAGCCTAAGGTGTCGGTCGATTGAAAGTATGTCAATGTGATAAAAAAATATAAAAAAAGGTGTAAAATAAAAGACACCGTGATATCAGTTTAAGAATGGGATTACAACCCTTTCCAAAGTTGTGGGTCATGAGAGAACGAAACATATTGAAGGTGTTGATTGTCACATCTTTCAAGAAAAATGATTAATGGCTTTATTTCTACACAGTTTGTAAATTCTGCTAATGAGTTGGCTGACACATCAAGCCTCTTAATCATACATCAGATCTTTTGAAAACCGAAGGAAGATGGCATTAAAAACTGTAGCTAATACTCTGTAATCCGTATCACTACATTAGGTTTATGGAGTGGATTTAGTGGACTTTAAGGGGATCAGGTTATATATTTCATATTTTATTTGATCAAAAAGTCAATATTAAACTGGGGTGAGGTTAGTGTTTAACCGGGTGTGGCTATCACTACCCTATAAGAATGTGCTTATTCAACGCATGATACCTTGTTTGTTTACTGTGGTCCATTTTCTCAAAGTTTATGCTTTTTCAACTTTTAAAAATGATTACATTAGTGTGAAATGTATTAATCTTGATCCTGCATATTGCAGGAAGACGAAAGAATCAGAAACAATAGGCTTGTCATGCTCAAGAAGATTGCATGCCTACCACTCGGAATTGTAGACCTGTCTGTCTTACCCGGATTTTGATTGCTTAATAAACCCTAAATGGTGCATGAAGGGACCATGCTACAGTCACACCACGGATGACACCGCCACAAAAAATGATTGTCTCTACATTTCACAAGGTTCAAGTAGAGCATTTTCCTACGTGAAATTAGCAGACATTTTTCATGGAGAAAATTGTTCTCCTTAAAAGCTACGTGAAGCCATTGGTATTTACACAGTTTTGTGTGCATGGGTTACATCCCTTTGTTCTCTTTAACAGTTTAACTTGTTCATGGTTACTATTTAAAAATAGAGAGTTGTATATTGGCACATTTCAATTCTGTGTGTTCTGGTTGAGTTGTTTGACAAACCAACGAGATTTGGGTTAGTTCAGGTTCTGCTTTTGAGCTGGTATCAAAATTAGAACTAGGATTGCTATGTTGAAGAACCTGATCCGAAATCAAAATCTGTTGGTGTGAATGGATGTTAATCAACTCGGACGTGCCATTACCACATCCGTATCTGTTTATTTTTATTGGATATTGATAGATACAGATCTTGATGGAGGCTAAAAATAAAAATTGTATCCGCATATATAAGATATATCTGTATTTGCTCCAAAATTTCAAAGTCAAGTTAAACTATATACGTAGTATATATAAATACTTTTCATATATTCATTCAATTATAATTTCTTATATAGTACGGAGTAGTATTTTTCTTTTTTCTGCAATATGTACTATCCTACAAAAGACCCCATACAATATTACATGCTACACATACACATGTATTTGTGTGTCTACACATATATTTTAAATATAAAGATGTCTCATGCTTTAAGTCATTAATAGAAAGATAAAAGATAAAACAAAAATTTGGAAAACTTATACATAATAGATCGAATACACAAATAAATGGTTTCGCAAATAGATATATATGCGGAGCATGTTATAAATGAATCAGATGTATGATTATCAAATTCTTATCCGTTTATCAATTGGATGTCTTTAATCAGATATGGATAAGAATCGTTTAAAATGGATGTGGAGAATTTGCATGTAAACATATATGGATGTGGATGGTAAAGATAAAAGATGTCTCATGCTTTAAGTCATTAATAGAAAGATAAAAGATAAAACAAAAATTGGGAAAACTTATATATAATAGATCGAATACACAAATAAATGGTTTCGCAAATAGATGTATATGCGGAGCATGTTATAAATGAATCTGATTATCAAATTCTTATCCGTTTATCAATTGGATGTCTTTAATCAGATATGGATAAGAATCGTTTAAAATGGATGTGGAGAATTTGCATATAAACATATACGGATGTGGATGGTAATTGAAATTTTTGTTATTCATTCACCCCTAAAATTTAGAATTAGACCATGTTCACCCCTAGCACCAATATGTTGAATACATCAAATTTATTTGGCTTTTTTTTTATTGAGAAAACCACAACTAAAAAATTGGGGTGTATTAGCATCTTCTTAATCCATCTGTCACCTATTTGCTCCGCCGATTTTTTCCTTCGTGCTCCTTCAGTTTATCTCTTTCGTTTTCAACCTTAGAGCATACATGGATAGGTAATCAAAAACAAAAATTGAGTCAATGATTATCTACTAAAAAAGGGGGAAATACATATCAAAAATCAATTCATTTTGTGAATCACGATGCAGTTAAGGAGAATATCTGAGGTTGCAAAAAACAATGTAGCTTGAATGCAAAACTCAAGATGCAGCGAAGGAGAAGATCTATAGATTCATACCTTGAAATTGCAGATCTGTAGTTGGAAAAAGAAAATCTCCATAGCCGCAAAGGAGAGGAGCAATGAAGAAGATGCAGATCGACATTGGCGATTGGCGAAGCGGAGAACATGACAACGAACGAGATGACCCTATTTTCACTATCTACAATAGCGTTTATATTTGACAGATGAGATATGGAAAATACATTATGTTCTATTTTATGCCCTACTCGTTGGAGGTCGAAATTGTATACAATGAATGGTAATTCTTTTATTTTTTACACTTCACTCTGTTTTACAAAAAAAGGATAAGCCCCACCCCCAAGTGCTCCCTTAGGCCGGACTGGACGGTCAATCAGAAGAGGTAAATTGGACCTTGATCACAGATTGGTGGTAAAGAGTAAAACTTGCACTTGGTACGTGCAGAGGCCTTATGCTTAGCATAGTTGCATTCTAGCATAGTTAACAGGAATTGATCTTTGATTTGGCACTATTTGACTTTCCAACTGCGTAACGCCCACCGGCACTTTACTCATTTTCACATTGCGCATTGGAGTTGCTCTAATTCATGATTGGGAAGCTAAAATAGAATATTGCTCTCAAATTTTTTAGCAACTTCATGGAACTGTCCAAACTTGAATTTTTAGAGCACATGCAATGGCGGGGAATTACTTTGCCATACCTGCCAATTCAGCATCTCTTCTCCATTTGCCTCGCGCGGCTGTGGCCGTCCTCCACGCCGAGCAAGCCATGTGCAAGACAAGGTGTTCCAATGTATTTTGTTTTTGTTTTTTTATTACATAAATTTTCTTTTCTTACATAAATAGAATTTGTATTTTTGGAAAGAAATAGATATGTAATTAATTTTTAAAATAATAACTAAAATACATTTAAAAAGTTGAAAAACGATAAAATAATGATTTATCATTGTATTCAGCTGTCACTCGCCACAGAATTGTTTTGGATTAGTTGAAATTAGGAAGGCACTTAAAGCCTGTTTGCCCTAAGGGCGGCTCTTGGAGGTTCTGAATTAACGTTATTTCGGTTCCCAACAGTAGAAAGGAGCTTTTCTGGCCTGCAACTGAAAACATGGCTGCGGAGGAGGAGGTGCTGGCCGAACTGGAAGCGTTAGACGCCGTCTATGGAGGCGATTATACCATCCTCGACAAGTACCCGCCGGTTTTTCATCTTCGTATCAAGCCCCGAACCGCCGATGTCACTTCTCAACAGGTCTTTCTCTCCCTCCCTACCCGATATGTGAATGCGATACATGTATGTTTCTGGGTTTTCTCGAGAGAGTGAGAGAGACTGAAGTCCACAATTTATCTGTAATTTGATGATCAAATCTGTGAATCGATCAATAATTTGTGCTCAATCTTCAACTTCATTTTTTGCTGTAACTGTTTCCCAACCCTGCTGTCACTTTTCTTGCTTTACCCTATCATCTACACCTAGGCTCTTTCATTCCCAGATTTTAGTGTTTGTCTTTCATGCTACAATATTCCTAAATTCAAGCATTATAATGACTTCCTTTTGTCATAAACAAATCCCATGTGAAAATGGTGTTGTTTTTATGAGTAGGTTGGAAAGTGCTACTCCGCATTTATTTAGTAAATTGCTACTATGTATTTGATAGACATGTGTAGTAGAATTTTTGTGCGTAGTTGAGGGTGAGAGTGTCATCGAACTAGTTTAAAATTTCCAAAAAAATTAGGGAGAAGCTTTTGGGACAAACAAGATGGAAAATGGGGTCATGATTGTGGGATGTAGGAGCATTTTGTAAGGGATGTGTGATGCATCAATTGTTATCAATGCCTTAAATTAAAAAGCATTGAGGCCTAGTGTGTAGTTACGAATTAATCAGGGTTAGACAGACCTATGCCGAACCACGTGGGTCTAAGTTACAACAAGACATTGGCATCTAATGACAAACCAATTGCTATGAGGTTGGTGAGGATTTTCACGAAAATAATTTTTATTGTGAAGACCTTTTTCTTGTTTTACATGCCCCTTAACAAATTTTATGTGTTATGCTTGCTGAAGAATTATTATTTTCTATGAATAATAACGGAGGGCTAAGCCTCGTATAAATAATTATAGCAGAGTCCTAATTACAGAAGGAAACTACCATGTATACAATGATTACACAATTAATATTAAATCTATACATAACATATTTAACATGCGCCCAACTACGTGACTGGTGATGGACGGACGCCGAGACTATGTCTGAAGTCGGGAAAAAGGAGAGACGGAAGCCCTTTAGTGAAGATGTCTGCATACTGAGAAGAGGAGAGAACATGCAGGACTCGAACCCAAACATATTCTCAACCTCAACTCCATGGCCCAAATTTCCCTGCTCCGATACCATGAAGAATTCTTATTTTCTTTGAATAATAACGGAGGGCTAAGCCTCGTATAAATAATTACAGCGGAGTCCTAATTACGGAAGGAAACCTATACAAGGAAACTACCATGTATACAATGATTACACAATTAATATTAAATATATACATAACATATTTAACACTTGCTTCATCAGTTTATCTATGCATTTTTGTGTTTTCTTTTCATGGAAACAACATTTCTCATTTTATTTTGCTTCTCTTGCAGTTTGTGGAAGCAACCATAAGCATTCAGGCAGGTCCTAAGGTAATTTTTGAATTGTAAAAGTTAGCACCTACATACCTTTCAAATACAAAGCCTTTATTTATGTTAAAACCAAGAAACTTGAGAAGTTATCACTTAAATGTATTACAGTGTTTCATATTATGGAGTAGATAGTTTAAAAAAAGATAGGGCTTCATCTTGCAGTTAGTTTTTTTTTTACAAAAATCCTTGTTTCATCTATTATATACTCGGGTATATAACATGTCCTAAATGCTTTTACTGTGCTAGATACTCTCTCCGTTCCAAATTGTTTGCCACATTTCGAACGACTTGCAAAATATCATCTCTTTTAAAATAATTTATTTACCAATTGGTAAAGAAATAAAAGGTAAAAATTACTCCGTCCCCGAGTATTTGTCCTGTTCTGACTTCTTTCAGTTAACTGTTTTCAACCTTTGACCTATAATTAAACAAAATATATATTGTATATAAATTAGATAAAATAATATTTTAAAAATATTTTATTTAATAAATCTAATAAAACTATTTCCGTATCAATATATAATATCATTTTTATTTAATTTCAGATCAAAGTTTACTAATTTTGATAAAAAAAAGTCAATATTGGACAAATATTCAGGGGCAGAGGGAGTAAAAGTTATCGAGAGGCCGAAATAGTAACTATTGTATTCTTGTTGGGACGGAGGTAGTATTAGTTAGGTTAACGAAGATACACTTTCGTCCTGTAGATATTTTTGCTAGTCTGTGACACAAATCGTTGTCTAATACTCTCATCCCATTTTCTATCAGAATGTCCTGGTCTATTATTATTCACAAGACAGTTAGGTACTGATTCTTCAATGTTCTAAGGACAAGCATAATAGTGACTAGTCTTTAACTTAATCCGGATGCAAGAAAAGCATTATATTGATTAAATTGTGATTTCTGTGACAGTATCCTGATGAGCCACCATGCATAAGTATGGTTGACTCCAAGGGTCTTGATGAGCAAAGGCAAAAGAATTTGACAAGTTGAATATCAGAAAAGGCCAATGAACTGTCCTCATGTCTAATGCTTGTTTCACTCTGTGAGGTAAACTATAGTGTCTGATATTTGATTAGTTGGTTTTCATGTTGAATTTGTGAAGTAGATGTGCTGATTAGGTAGCTGTTGGTATTATTGTGTTTTTTATTCAAGATAGACACCTATGTACCACCTAAATGAGAAACGTGATGGGGAAACTACATTTTCAAAAATATAATCTATAAAATGCAAGTTGATTGCGTTAATGTAAAAAGTCATAGGGCGATGCTGCGACTTACATTTATATGGTACATATAAGACCAAATAAGAACTCTAGTCTCATCCATCTATTTTCGGAGACTTTCGTACCTTCTATAATTGCTATTTCTCTGGGTTCGTCCTCTGCTTTCAGCTTACTCCTCGGGCTCAGCTTCTGCCTTCGTCCCCTCGCGCAAACCTCTTAATTCATCCTGTCTTTTTTTACTTATACCAAAATGATTTTGAAAGTGCTTCGTAGCCTGACCTTGGCAGACAATGGTAGTATCCTTTGCATCTCCTTTTTTCAGGATGTTGTCTACTTTGGTGATATCGTTAGTTGCCTTCTTTTGATAAGGGCTAGTCTACGATTGTGTAGGTTGTCTCCAGTCCCCCTCTTTGAAGCAATAAGCCAATAACTCACCCGTCATAACGCACGTTAAGTACCCAATTGCTTACGCTCGAGACCATTAGACCTCTCTCTCGTTCAGACCAATTGTGTTAACCTCGGACGTAGGTTTATATACCTCGCACTCCCAGGGAGGAGTGGATTCATGACGCTTGAGGGACTTATTTATGAGTCATTTCAACTCACTTGAATAGTACCCTCACACGTTTAGGGGTTTTTTATTAAGAGAGAGAGAGAGAGAGGGGCAGGAAAGATAGTAGAATGTCAAGCCAACACAACACACACCACGAACAAAACTAGCATCCTAGACTAAACGACTACACAACTACTCTAATCCTAGATCTTCACACATCCTTATCTAAGGCCATATCCTCAGTAAGAGCCAAGTGTCCTAAGTCCTGCCGAACCACCTCCTTCCAATTCTTCCTAGGTCTACCCCTACCCCCAAATCCTCCAACTATCGAAAATCAAACAAACACAAATCATCTTCTCAAGAATTATCATCTCAACTTAGTTGATATTCTGGATTAACAAAAATAATCTTTTATTTCTCAATTCAAACAAAGTTAATCAACAAATCAAGCACATCCAACAAATTTAATCCCACAAGCACAAAGATCACATAATGTTCTAGGCAATTTGCATCATTTTTTCCCGGTGCACTTCCGTCAAACTTGCATCAAATTTCCGACGAGGCTTTATGTGAAGGAGAAATAGAGGTTTGAGGCACAAATTTGAATCTCAGGTTTCCGAGTAAAATATTTAGTTTTGTGGCGGTTGAAATGATTCTTCTCGATCTATTAGATCTAAGGAAGGAGATTGTCTTAGACACTGTAAAGGGAGCTCGATAATCCATGGAGACGACGACGGGGCCTCGTGAAGGTGATGACAATGGATTTAATTTCTGGATGGATAATTCAAGAGGAGAGGTAGTGTTTGAGAGAGATAGAGAGAGAGAAGCATTATGTAGATCTGGGGTTCTTGAGATATGGTGGGGGAAGGTGTGTTTTGACGTTTGGAGAGAGGAGGTAGGAGAGTTAATTTTAAGGGTAGTTGTGTCATTTAATATGTGAAAAGTTGTTTTTTATAGAAATGGGAAGATAATTTTAGGACGGCCCAAAATGAAAAGTGAGAAGTTAATATTAGGACGGAGGGATTAATCAAAAATATGTAACATAAGGTACAAGAAGCATAAATGAGGAGCATATCTAAGTCTACATGTGAATAAACATTTGTGCAAGCCTAAAACTGCTAAGCACACAAAAATGAAGGCATGGTGCTCCAACCTCTTATTGGCCATGTGTGCAACAATTATCCCGTGGCGGAGACTATGTGGGCCAAGTCACAATCGAATGTCGTGGGTGCTTGTGTGCTGAATGCACTATAAGGCTAGGGTATGCGCCTCTTCTTACACCAATTGGTTTTCGAAGAGTTGGTAGCGTCTGAGGTCTTACAAGTGGTATCAAAGCCAAGGTCACGAGTTCGATTCCCAGTGGGAGCAATTGCTGAGGGGGAGATTGTTGGCCATGTGTGCAGCAATTGTCCCGTGGCGGAGACTATGATGGCCAAGTTACAATCGAATGTCGTGTGCGCTTGTGTGTTGAATGCACTATAAGACTAGGGTATGCGTCTCTTCTAACACCAATTGGTTTTCGAAGAGTTGGTAGCGCCTGAGGTCCTACACCTCTCAAATCAATTACTCCCTCTGTCGGCCTAAGATGTTCTCGTTTTAACTTTTCATGGTTTTTTAGGAATGTAAAAAAGACCATTGACTTTCTCATTTTGCCCTCTTTGCTCTTCCCCTGCCGCGTGGTTCCTATTACTGCTGGGGCTACCGCCTCCCATAACCACCACCACATCCCCCACAGCTGCAGCCACCACCCCCACTGCCATCCCACCTTCGCCGCCAGCAAACAACCACCAACCCCACCATCACCGCTGGCAGGCAAACCTCACCCCAGGTCCCTGCAATCCTACCATCGAAAAAGAAGACTCACCATTGCTGCCGCCACCGTACTTAGCCCCACCATCGCCGCTGCCCTCATCCCCGCCATCGCTGCCACCACTGCCCTTATTCCCACCATCGCCGATACTGACAGAGGAGAAGAAGAAAAAGGAAAAGAACAACGAAGAAAAGAAGAAGAATGGGCGAGAAAGAAAGAAAAAAGATAGAAGGAAGAAAGTGGCGGAGGAAAAAGAAGAAATACAGAGAAAAGAAGAGTAGAGAAACAAAGGAGGGGTATTTAGGGTATTTTTGGTGTTAAAATGTGGATGGAGAAGATCTATGGAGGATGAATGACAAGGGCATTTGAAAAGATCTTGGGGGGATGGAGGGAGTACCTTTCTACCCTATTCCTTGTCGGCCACTTCCTATCTCAGGTCATGCCCTTGGGTAGCTTAAGTTTAGCCATCCCGTCTAATTAACTCCCCCAGCTCTTCTTCAGCTTATCTCTACCTCTCGTAACTCATGTGATCATTAAATCTTGCATCTCTAACTAGGGTGTTGGGAATTAAACACACAACACACACAAATAATCTGCCAGAATCGAGAGAGAACGGAACACAAACGACACACAAGGATTTAACGTGGTTCGGTTTCTCTAGTCCACGGCTGCAACAGAAGGAATTTTATTTCACTCGTGGTCCACAGAATTACAAATCCAAGTGTTATATATATAGGAAAAGCCTAGACCTTGGGTTACAGATGATGGGCCGGGCTAGAAGAACTAACAAGCCTCCACAAAGCTGAACAATCTCCCATTTGGAGGCTTGAAAATCTTCAACTGCCATCCACATAGATCACTTGTATATCTAGCAATCTTCTGACAAAAGGCCCGTTGAAGCTCCCTAGAGCTCCAACACATCAGTCACGACTAAATCTGCTCCTGACTCGTCCTCGGTCCCTACCGGCTTCCACTGCAAAAGCACACTGCCGGATCCTGAAACATCCTGAGAACAAATACTCTCCATACTCAGCAAGAAATTTTCTAGAGATGTTTCAACATCTGTAACACTTGTTCTCTTGACCCACTGTTTTCTAGGAACCTTGGCTGAAGCACCACCTGTGCTCCCACTGCCATAGATACCAAAGACTGGCCTGAACCTTTCCTCGCTTGTTCATCTCGAATCTGACCTGTGGCTCTAGGTTTCCCTCTTGCAAAGACAACCCTCTTCTCCCCACAACATTCTGTGAATCGAACTTTGTTTATCTTGTGAACTGGGACGGTCACTCCCTCAAATGGTTACCCAACGATATACAACGAACATCTCTTCCATTCGTGGGCCATGACAAGATTTTCCTTCATGACCTTCCCCTGCCCGTCTCCGAACTTCACCTCGTGTCCCCGTTCAAGGCTGGAACTACTCTGACATCCTTCAAAGTTCAGAGACCGATTGGGGTCTGCAGCACTATGTCACCCACATCAGTGGCTCTATCGTCCACTCGTCGTATCTTTCTAAAGTCCCCAATAACCAGATTCTGCAATGCTTCACTGTGGGTAGCATGAAATGAAGCACCGGAATACATGACCCAGGAATCCACACTGATCTTCGCACAATAGATAAACAAATCCTCGTCACTTGCGGAGTTTAGCAATGTTCACTTGCTTTCCCTCTTTTAGGCACTGATTCCTGAAATGCCTCACCTTCTTGCACTTCCAGCATATTACATATGAGCTATCTCGAGTCTTCGACTGACTCTTTCGTCTGTTCCTGCTCCCACTACCTTTGCTATTCTTTCTACCTCTGACGACATTCAGCAATTCACCCGATGACTCCCTTTAACTCCTTCTTCTGACGTCCTCGCCAATTACGAGATCATGAATCTTCTCAAAGGTGAATCCATCAGGTCCCACTGAACTAGTAACAGTTGTAACGGTTTCGGACCAACTGTTAGGCAATGATGATAGCAGTAGTAGAGCTTGAACTTCATCATCGAACTTAATGCCGACCGACATAAGTTTGGCTAAGATCGAATTTAACTTATTGATATGCTCGGGAACTGAAGTGCCTTCTTTCATTCTTGTGTTCATGAACTCTCTAATCAGAAAAACCTTGTTCGCCGTTGATGGCTTCTCGTACATATTAGTTAGCACTTCTATAATTCCCTTTGTTGTTTTCTCCTTCAGAATATTGAACGCAACATTCTTGGTCAACGAGAGACGGATCACAGACATAAGCTTCCGATCCAAAATTGCTCAATCTGCATCGTATATCTTTTTGACTTGTCACCTAAAACCATGTCCAAATCTTTCTGAGCCAGCAAATCTTCAATTTGCATCTTCACCAACTGAAATTTGTACCATCAAATTTCTCAATTCAGAACTTCCCGTCTTGTGCCTTATCACACGACTGGACAAGATACTTGGTACAACAATTTCAGATCTAGGTAATTTCTTAAGAAAGTCAAGCCCACCACATGCGAACCAAACAAAGCCCAAACACAAACCACCAAATAAGGAAAGTGGGATGGACCGAATTGCACAGTACCTGGCCTTTTTTTCTTTCTTTCGGTCCCGCCAAAACCAAAAAACAGGTTCAATCCTTGAATTGTGCAACTATGCAAATCTATCGCAACAATTATCTACGACCGCGGCTGTTCAATTATCTACGACCGCGGCTGAATCTTTTGCCCAGCAGCACCTACTCGTCAGCAACGGCTCAAAATGAACGACGGCGGAACTTCTCGGGGATAGTGGCTGTGCTTCAAATCGACGGCCCAAGTACTGGTGGTGGCAGAATCACACTCGCGCCGGCGCGCGGCTTGACTGCAAGCGGACCGCAACGGCAATCTGCCTCCTCTTGCTGTGCTCTCCTGCCTTCCTGTGACGATGGCGGCTTGGTCCTCTGCGTGCAAACTTCCCTTCACAGCGGCTATTCTCAGCGGCAACAGATCTGGACGGCGGCGACACTCCCGCTGGACGACGGCGATCTCCTCTGCTGCCGCTCTCTGGAACTAATGGCGGATCTTTTCCCAGCAGCGGCTTCTGCCATAGACCCCCCCAGCGGCAATCAATGAAGAACAGCAGCGGCCTGTTTTCCCTGCTGTGTACACACAGCTCCGAAAACCTTAGGTAACAAATTTTTTGCAATTTGTGTTCTCGTGTAGAACAACCTGGCTCTGATATCAATTGTTAGGAATTAAACACACAAATATTTGTCTGAATCGAGAGAAAGAACGGAACACAAACGACACACAAGAATTTAATTGGTTCGGTTTCCCGAATCCACGGCTGCAACAAGAAGAATTTTATTTCACTTGTGGTGCACAGAATTACAAATACAAGTGTTCTATATATAGGAAAAACCTAGACCAAGGGTTACAGATGATGGGCCGGGCTGGATGAACTAACAAGCCTCCACAAAGCCCAACATAGGGCATTCTCACCTCTCTTCACATGACAGTACCATCGCAGCCTCGTGTTTATCATCTTGTTCACCATGGATGCCGCTCTGCTGTAAATGGAAACATGACAACCTGCATACTGCGTAGAGTTTCTCGTTGAGACGCTTTTTTAGTTTTTTAGGGGTTTTGTTTGCAAGTAGTCATTGAAACACATTTCCTAGAATGAAATGCAAATTTTTTAGGCTAATGATATTGCCACTCCAGTTTTTCTAATGCCACTCCAAAATCTACTATTCGTATGAGTTTGTAAATAGTGATTTTGGAGTGTCATTAACAAAAAAGGGAGTGACAGTATAATTATCCTATTTTTATTCGCTTTATTTGCATAAATGCCTCTATTACTTGGGGGAGGAGGAACATGCATGAAATGCTTAACCCCCCACCCCCTGGCCCCAAACACACCCACACTCCAATGTTAGTGTGCAATGTGCATGATGCTTGAACACTAACACTTTTAATTTTAACTTTGCTTTGGAAATAAGCTGGATGCTCTTGAGTTTTAATTACCAGGATTAGGACCTTTTCTCATTAATAAATTTCTGTAGTATTTCAACTTTAGATTTGCCATGCTGTCTATGAGATGCTCATGGCTTTGAATGTCTTCCTAGGAAGCAGTGGAAAGGCTTTCTAGCATGAATCACCCTGATGGGGATTGCCCATTGTGTTTGTATCCATTGGTTGATGAAGCCAGAGGAAAAAGTTCTTTTCCCTTTATGAAGTTGATGTCATGTTTTCACTGCTTTCATTGGTAAGATTTATTTGTACTCCTTTAATATGTAATGATCTGTCCTTTTTTTGGGAAATGTAAATATGCATATTAATCACCTAAAGTTATATATATATATATATATATATATATATATATATATACACATATACACACACACACACAAAGTAGGAGGGGGATACCCTAACTCACAAATCAAGGCATCAGTGATGGTCAACATTCAAAAATCGAAGTGATGGTCAGGATACAGTCTACTCCCTCCTTCCCAAACAACGTACAAAATATCCTCTCTTTTAAATTAATTTTATTTAGAAACTGTAAGGGAAATAAAAAGTACAAAGTACATACGGTATTTAAAAACTACTCCCTCCGTCCCAGAGTATTTGTCCACTTTCATTTTTACACACCATCCAATGCACTTCTTTAATTCATTTTATCTTGTAATTTGTATATTAAAAAATTATAGAAATTATATATTAATAATCTATATGTTAAGATAAATCAAACAAGATCACACATGACTGTATTTAGGCTTACACATTGAGAGAATTTGATGAGTCAAAGTGCTTAGATGAATAGTTCCAAAAGTAAAAAGTGGACAAAAACGGGGGGACGAAGGGAGTATATCAAATGTTCTACAAAACAAATGGTGACAAGAATATTTTATTTTATCAAATGGACCATGGAAAGCATACGCAGACAAAAGTTATTGGAAGCCCGAAGTAGTAGCTAGGGCAATTATTTTTGGGACGGAGGGAGTATATAAATTATAGATCATAACCTTATTTTCTTTGAAGGGTCATAACCTTATTTTTAACATCATCATTTATGATAAAAGTCCTAAACAAGAAAGACAGAGTGTTTAATTCTTCTTTTCGTGGCAGTGATTGCATTATTAGATGGTGGAATTGGCTACAACTTCAAAAAGAAAGAGATGTTACTAACATCTTGGGCTCTTCCTTTGCATCCTCTAGCAAGACAGACGTTCAACAAGGTACACCTAAATTGGATAATGATTTTGTGTGTGTGTGTGTGGCTTTTTGTTTTCTACGATTACGCTTCCACCCACACATTGGAGTTTTTTTGAACCAATGCTTAAGAAGTCAACATTGGTTTTTTTGGGTGTGCTCTTTGATTGGATTTATGTGATATAAAGATGGGGTAATGGATGATGTAAAATGTAAAGTAATAAACAACAGTCCAATGACACTTTAATATTTTCACCCAACAGAGGTTGCTATGAAAGATAACTGCTGCCTCTGGTTCACATCTGTGGGAACCCTTAACCGGAACTGCTTACTCTGGTCCCATTTTTGAAAACCTTAGCCAAGAACTCTACCATCTGGTTCTGTTTCATTCTAACCCATTCCGGTCTGGTTCCATTGCCCTTCCGTAACCACTACTTCCAGTTTTAATTCTTACCTGGGACCTTGTGGAGGCATTTTTGATTTCTCAGTGGAGAATGCTAAATGCAGAATGCTCTTGTGCATATGTTGGATTCATGATTATTATGGTACATCAAGACCTGTTCTCTCTCCTCCCTCTCCCTTCCTCCCTATTTAGATATTCTCTTGCATGCTAGCTCAGTACTACTTTATGCTGCACCACCAAACATGGCTCCAACATAGGATCTTGGAGTTAGAGCATTGTAGTTAACCAAATGGGTTTCTCTCATGTATTGATCTTCTTGATGATCTATATGCTTCAATTTTTTTTATGTTGCATAAAATACTTCATTTGGATGCATTTTGCAACAGAGGAGAGTAAGGGAAATTGCCCGGTTTGTCGCAAAGTTTTCACTGCCAAGGATATAGAGCACGTGCGTGACATGGTGGAAATGCAATCACATTCGGTATATATACTTTAACATATACTAGTATATATTCACTATGTAACTCTGCAACTTCATATGTTTTCTGACTTAGAAATGATTTTGTTGGTTGGAAAGCAAAATCTCACACTAGTTGCGTTCTCTTGGTGTAAATCGAAACCATAACTGAAGAAGCAAGGCTGTGTGGAAAATTAAAAACTTTATCACACACTTATGTAGATATTGTATTTTGAGAACGAGTAAATTCTATAATTGGTGTTGGTCCTTAATAACAAGGTTTTTTTTCATATTTAGTCCTCTATTTTCAAATATTACGTTCGTGGTTCTTCTTTTATGGGTACTGATACAAATCCCAAACCAATCAAGACTTATCAGAGGCATAAAAAGAGGGCTTAAGTTTGACTAAGTTTAATTCTTTTATTAGCATCATAATAGGGCTTAAGTTTTGACTAAGTCTGATTATTTTAAAATGTGTTTCCATTCTGTTAGCACAATAATTGGCATCTGTTAGCACAATTATAGGTCCACTTTTGCTGTCATGGTCAGTTAGTCTTATCTTTCTGTCCCTAAAGAGTAGGGATATTCGGTTATTTCTTTGTATTCCAACATTATAAATATGCTAGTCCATCCTCCTGGAAGGATATCAGTGAATCAATATATTTCATAACATTGGAGATACTCCTTGGCTTCTATTACCTCTTCTCAGTGAGATTCTTATTGTGAGAGGGTTAGGAGAGAATTCATTCTTCAGTTTCTATCTTTCATTTTTCATAATACCGTCCTGCTCCTATCATTTTGGTATCAGAGCCTCGTTCTAATCAATATGGTGGTCACACGCTCCTCTAATACTAACTCAAATCCAGAAGATAATAAGGAAAATCCCTTTGGTAAGGATCCTCTGGCAACCATTGCCTCTCCATTGGCAGCTTTAGATGTTTTACAAGAAAAGGTGACGGCTCTGGAAGCAAATTCATCTCGCCGTAATAGTGGAAAAGGGAAACAGCGCAACGGCGCAGATGATATCAATGAGGAATATGAATCATCTCGGCATGCTTCAAGGCTACCACATGCAAAACTGGAATTCCCAAAAATTACAGGAGGCGGCCCAAGAGGATGGTCCTCAAAGCTGAGAAGTATTTCCGTTACTATGACGTTCCAGAGGATGATAAGGTGGATGTGGCTTCGATGTACCTTGAAGGGGATGCTTTGGACCTGTTTTCATGGATGAGCACCAAGAGAACGTTGTTTTATTGGGAAGATTTGGTGAAGGCATTCCAAGAACACTATGGTCCACCGGAGTATCAAAATCCGAACGAATACCTTTGTAGTATCAAACAAAGTGGTACTGTGACTGAGTACCGCTTAGAGTTTGCAAGAAGGGCATCTCAAGTTGAAAGACGGCCTGAGCACTGCCTTCTAGGTGTTTTCATCAATGGCCTCAAGGAAGAATTGCGACCAGATGTTCGGCTCCACAAGCCACAAACTGTGTACATGGCTGCAAGTCTTGCCCTGGAGTTTGAGAGAAAGCAACCTTCGAGTCGAGGGTCCAGATCTAATGCTGCTTTTGGCCCAAATCGCAGCAACCCACTTTACCCTCAAAATTATTCAACACGTGAACAGAAAGGAAGTATACTGTCGACACCTACCAGGAGCTCGTTCATGGAGTCCGAACGACAACGCCGACGCGAAAAGGGATTATGTTTCCGATGTGGCGACCCATTCAGGCCTGGTCATCGCTGCTCCAGTTCCTTCTCCCTCATGGAAATTGACGACGAGAGAAATCCAGTGCAGGAGAAGTTGGATTCTGTGGAAGAGCAAGAAGTTGAAACCTTAGAGGAGGCCGAGATCTCATTCAATGCCATTCTGGGACGACCTACAACAACCACTATGAAGCTCCTTGGATCTATCTCTTCCAAGGAGGTTCTGCTATTAGTAGACAGTGGGTCAACACACAACTTCATCTCAGACTCTGTAGTCCGTGACCTGAACTTGCCTACTTTTTCCATTCCAACATTCGGTGTACAGATCGGAGATGGCAGTGTTGTTCGCTGCAATCAAATCTGCAAGGGCATTGAAGTGATGATTTCAGGTTTGAAAATCACCCAAGACTTCTACCCCCTTCTCCTTAGTTGGCTCTGATTTGGTTTTAGGTATTAAGTGGTTCGCATCTCTTAACACCATCCAAGCCAACTGGAATGAATTGTTCCTGGCATTCTGGGTTGACGGGAAGCAATATACGCTACAAGGGGTACCACGACTGGAACGACAACAACCTTCTCTGCACTCCATGCACTCCTTATAACTTAAACTAAGGTCTGGTCACTCTGGTTCCCTGAAGCTAGATGACTTAATGACTGAGTATGGCACCATCTTTAATGAACCCACAAAGCTACCTCCCTTTCGGAAGCACTGTCATGCCATAAATCTTCTTCCTAATACATCACCACCAAACTTAAGGCCATATCGGTGCCCCTATTTTCAGAAGAACGAGATCAAACGACAGGTAGAGGATTTACAAAAGAAAGGATACATTCGGCCAAGCTCAAGCCCTTTTGCAAGCCCTGTAATTCTAGTAAAGAAGGACAACTCATGGCGTATGTGCATTGACTATCGCGCCCTCAACAAGATCAGAATACCTGATAAGTACCCTATTCCAAACATTGACGAGTTACTTGATGAGTTATATGGTGCTGCCTACTTTTCTAAGATCGACTTACGATCAGGTTACCATCAAATTCGTGTTCTCGATGCGGACATTCCAAAAACAGCTTTTAGAACTCACAATGGGCACTATGAATTTGTGGTGATGCCATTTGGCCTTACAAATGCCCCAGCAACCTTTCAAGCCGCCATGAACGACTTGTTCAGACCCTACCTCTGGGAATTTGTACTGGCTTTCTTTGATGATATTTTAGTATATAGCTCATCACCGCGGCAGCATAAACAACACCTTCGAACCATCTTTCAAACTTTGAAGGAGCATGCTTATTTTGCCAATCCCAAGAAGTGTGAGTTGGGGCAGACCCTAGTGTCCTTGGGCCACCAAGTTTCTGCCCAAGGAGTGGACACTGACCATGAGAAAATTAGTGCAGTACAAGGATGGCCGATACCTTGTAATGTCACTGAACTTTGAGGTTTTTTGGGGCTTACGGGCTACTACAGGAGGTTCGTTAAAAACTATGGTAGGATTGCTCGTCCCCTTACTGACCTTACCAAGAAGGATGCATTTTGTTGGTCTGTAACAGCACAGAATGCTTTTGAGAAGCTTAAACACGCGCTGGTTTCAGCACCAGTTCTGAGGCTCCCCGACTTTGATTCTGAATTTATTGTGGAATGTGATGCCTCAATGGAAGGAATCGGTGCTATTTTGTTACAACAGGATCACCCAATTGCATTCTACAGTAAAGCGTTCTCTTTCTCAAATAGATACAAATCTGCCTATGATCGGGAGCTGCTATCACTTGTGTTATCACTACAAAAATGGCGCCATTACTTGTTAGGGCGTCGTTTTACAGTAAGGACCGATCGTCACAGCCTCAAGCATCTTTTGGAGCAACGGGCGCTCACTAATACACAACAACGTCACATTCTTAAGTTACTACCATTCAACTTTTCTATCGTCTACAAGGCTGGAAAAGAAAATATTGGTGCAGACGCACTTTCTCGTCGGCCCCAACATGCAGATTTTCTGCATTTGGTAATACCTTTGCCTATTGACTTTCTCGGATTGGAAGAAGCACTATTGGCAGATCCCTTCACAGCAACAATCATTCAAGATTTAAAGGAGAACGCAACGTCCAGGCCGGGCTATACTCTAGTGGAACGACTGTATTTCAATGGACGCTTGGTAATTCCTGAGAGTTCATCCTTGCGTGCTAAGCTACTCGAAGAGGCTCACAACACCCCTTGTGGTGGTCATGGTGGATTCTTGAAAACTCTTATACGCCTCTCCAACACTGTGTACTGGCCTCGCATGAAGCTGGATGTCAAGCGGTTGGTTCAACAATGCTTTATTTGTCAGAAAAGTAAATATGAAGCTCTTTCTCCTGCTGGATTGTTACAACCTATACCTGCCCCTGAACAGATTTGGGAAGATATATCTATTGATTTTATTGTGGGTTTACCTAAATCTGGAAATTTTGACACTGTTGCGGTGGTGGTTGACAGGTTGAGTAAATATTGCCATTTTATTGCACTATCTCATCCTTCTTCTGCCAAAACTGTTGCCGCACACTTTTGTGAACATGTCATCAAGTGCATGGTATGCCCTGTTGGAAACAATCTTTTATTATAACTGGAAAATCACTCAAAACCAATTACAATAAACTCTCATATGTTTCTCATATCATAACCCAAGCTTGGCTAAGATATATATAGAGCTAATTAAGCCTACAACCCATAATTCTATTCCTACTAGAACTAGAAGATCTCGGGTTGGTACTCCTAATCCAACTAGGTAATTAATTAGCCTTCATTCACCCCCCTAATTTTCGAGTTGGATTTTGGGTGATCTTCAACTCCAAGCATGTCTTCTTTATCTTGATTCTCCCAAGGCTCTGTATGATCCCTTGCAGTGTTCTTTGGGTTCCACTTAGCTTGAACAAACATTTGCTCCTTGCGATCATTACACGTCCTTCCTTGGGTTAGAATCCTTTTCTTGACATCTCCTTTAAACTCTTGAGCATTCTTCTTTGGACTTTTGAATTTTGGGTTTCTCCATTAAACTTGGATCTCCGAGAAGATTCTGACTCGTACTTCGCGTACCTTCTTTCAGTTGATCAACTCTTTGTAAATCCGTACCCGCAAAATTCTTTATTCCAATAGTGCTAACTTGGGGAGTTACTTTCTTGAGTAATTTAAAAAGTAATTTGATTAAACCTTCTTGTTTATTCAAAACAAAATATGCACAACGGCTGTCTCTCGATCTATATAACCAAACTTGATTGAATATAGATCCTTGGCGGCTGGCTCTTGAACTGCTCGATGGCACAAACTGAACAACCACAACAATCCCTATGGCGGCAGGATCTGTACGGCCTCCTATCGAACTGAACCTGGAACGTATTTAGTTTTGTGTGCCGTCAATTTTTTTTGGAAGGCGGCTGCTAAGCTGCTTCACGCGAGCTGCGATTTCAAATTCTTCGGACGGCGGCCTACTGTGCGCGGTCGGGATCTGGACGGCTGTACGTGGACTCCAGCGGCGGCGAGACCTCTGCTGCTAGGCGGTGGCGGGACCTGGGCTGTGGCGACTCGATGGCGGCGCACAGACGGATCAGCGTTGCGATCTCCTCGAACCAGCGGCGTCGATCTGAGGACGACGACGACTCCTCAGCGCGGCGCGGCTCCTCAACTCGGCGGTGGCGGCAGGTCTCTCTGAGCGACTCTCCCTCGGCGGCTCAGACCTGCGCGCGGCTATCATCGGCGGCGAGTTCAATCTTGGATCCGGACGGCTGCGACGGCGGCTCTAATCCTACGTGACAAGTTTTTTTTTTCAATTTGTGCTTGTGTTGAACAATCTAGCTCCGATACCAATTGTTGGAAACAATCTTTTATTATAACTGAAAAATCACTCAAAACCAATTACAATAAACTCTCATATGTTTCTCATATCATAACCCAACCTTGGCTAAGATATATATAGAGCTAATTAAGCCTACAACCCATAATTCTGTTCCTACCAGAACTAGAACATCTCGGGTTGGTACTCCTAATCCAACTAGGTAATTAATTAGCCTTCATGCCCCGCTCCATCATCTCAGATCGAGATCCCCTTTTTCTAAGTGCTTTTTGGCAGGAACTATTCAAGGCGGCTCCAACCCTTTTTCTATGTACTGCTTATCACCCTCAAACAGATGGACAAACAGAGGTCGTTAACCGTTGTCTTGAAGCATATCTGTGCTGTTTTGCACATGAACAGCCGTCTTGAAGCATATATGTGCTGTTTTGCACATGAACAGCCGCGTACTTGGAGTAAATTCTTGTGTTGGGTTGAATACTCATTCAACACCAGCTTTCATTCTTCTGCCAACACAACACCCTTCAAAATTGTGTATGGCAGGGACCCACCTCCTTTACATCCCTTTACTAAGGGGGAAACAAACATTGTTGAACTAGCAGATCAGTTCAAAACAAGAGATCACATGCTTCGTTTACTTTGAGACAACCTGAAGAAAGATCGCTCAAGATTGAATGGAGTCTTATGCAGATCAGAATCGGCGTGAACTCACATTCAAGGAGGGTGATGCTGTCTTCCTTCGAATCCAGCCTTTCAAGCAACACTCACTTGCTCCTCGAAAGTATACTAAGCTTTCTCCAAGGTTCTTTGGTCCATATAAGGTATTGCGTAAGGTGGGCCCGGTTGCTTACGAACTTGAACTCCCTTCCATCAGCAAGAATTCACCCAGTCTTCCACGTCTCACTGCTCCGTCCAGCTCATGGATGCTCGGCTACAGACCCACCTGCAGATTTACCCCTTTCAGATGACTTTGTGATGCTCTTAGAACCCGCCCAAGTGCTAGCACACCGCTGGAAAGCAGCCCACCTGGAGCTCCTCATTCAATGGAAGTCCAGACCTGTGGAGGAAGTAGGCTGGGAGGATTATGATCTTCTATTGCAACAATTTCCTGAGTTTCGCCTTGAGGACAAGTCGGTTTTTCAGGGGGAGAGTATTGATACAAATCCCAAACCAATCAAGACTTATCAGAGGCGTAAAAAGAGGGCTTAAGTTTGACTAAGTTTAATTCTTTTATTAGCATAATAATAGGGCTTAAGTTTTGACTAAGTCTGATTATTTTAAAATGTGTTTCCATTCTGTTAGCACAATAATTGGCATCTGTTAGCACAATTATAGGTCCACTCTTGCTGTCATGGTCAGTTAGTCTTATCTTTCTTTAAAAAGTAGGGATATTCGGTTATTTCTTTGTATTCCAGCATTATAAATATGCTAGTCCATCCTCCTGGAAGGATATCAGTGAATCAATATATTTCATAACATTGGAGATACTCCTTGGCTTCTATTACCTCTTCTCTCAGTGAGATTCTTATTGTGAGAGGGTTAGTAGAGAATTCATTCTTCAGTTTCTATCTTTTATTTTTCATAATACCGTCCTGCTCCTATCATGATACAGCACAAGGGAGAGCCGCACCCTAAAAGCTAGCTGTTAAGGTGGGAGAACTCTTGGCTATATAAACCCATCACGAAGTTCCCCATTTAACTGGTGTGGGACAATAAAATCAGTCCGTAACATTCGACCCCCCATAAGGCCCAATGTCCTCGTTGGTCACGACTGGTTTCACCAGGCCACCACTCCGAGTTGGCTCTGATATCATTGATACCGCACAAGGGAGAGTCACACCCTAAAAGCTAGCGGTTAAGGTGGTAGAACCCTTGGCTATATAAATCCATCACCAAATCCTCCATTTAACCGGTGTTGGACAATGAAATCAATCCGTATCAGGTACCTTTCCACGGGTAGTCTTTTTTTAACTTTCTGTCATGTTTGTGTTACATTGAGAGCTCTATTTAACACCAACATGACAGAATATCAAAAAAAAAATATCTGTGGATAGGTACCCCATAAAAGGACCACAGACGTAATTTTTTAAAATAGAGGACTAAATATGGAAACCCGGACCAAAGATACCCTCTTTTTTGAGAAGCGAGAGATGTTTGCACATGATTTTTGGTATTTTTTTTATATTACCCATGAATGAGACTTAAAACTTCCTTTGCTTTCTTTCTTTCTTTGAAGTTTTGGGCAGTAAATGTAGCAATGCATCAAGGGTCTAAGTGTCTAACGGAAACAGTCTTTCTATGAATGTATACATGTATTGTGGCTAGACCTGATCATGGACTCGGATATATGGCCCATCTGCAAAAGCTTGCTAGCAAAATAGCTGCTTGGGCTTGATATTTGGAGTACGGGCCGGGCTTGGACCTTATGAATTGAGGCCCAAATATTTTAGGGTCGAGCTTGGGTTTATGCTCAAGCTTGCGGGTCAGCCTTAACGAATTAAAATATTTATTATTAATATAATTATAATAAAATAAAAATAAAAACATTAATAATAATAACAAAAACAATAATAAAAAGAATAATATTTAATAAGTATTTGGAGAAAAAAGTTCATTATAAGTATATTTAATAAAATAAAAAAATTATTATTCGTATTGTTTACAATGTCTCACACATTGATAATGGTATTTCAATAAATAATACTCTGTGCTTCGTACGTAGTCAAACAAATTTATATTTTATATATTAGTTGTTCTTTCATTACTCATTATAGTATTTATATTAAACATCTAATATATTAACCCATTACTTTATTTTTTTAAAATTATCTTTTAATTATTTAGAAGTTTTTGTCGTGCCAATCGGACCGGCACAAAGCTAGCGGGTATCCATGTGGGCAGGGCTTGGACTTTAATTGTTAAGCCCGACATACGGGTCGAATCGGGCTCGAGCCTAGAAAAAACTCGTAATGTACCTTCTCAGGCTGGCCCAAAACTCGCCCGCCTCGCACTTTGATCAGGTTTAATTGTGGCACACTCCTCTCCCTCAATCTCTTATCCACTAATCCACATGTTTGAACACTTCTTCAGAATCTATACTATGCATATAGATTGTGACATGAAATATTTTGTTTCACTTATATTTTAATGAGCATGAACTAATTTATTTTTAATTCCATCTTGATTAACGATCACTGGTAAATTAACACAGGTTAAAACACTACTAGTACAATAGTCCTGATATTATTATGAGTAAATTTTTAAAATGGTTCTTTTTAAAAACATATTTTCTCAAATTAGTCCTCAATTAACAATAATTACTAACCTTGTCCTTTATAACTGAGATGTATTCTCTAAATAGTCTTCAGTAAAAAATGTTTATTAAATGACATTTAGAAGAAGATTATTTTTATATTTTCTATCATCTAAAATATGTATAAGTCCTCAAAATGGTCATTTCAAATTATGTATGTAGCTACTAGAAGAATAGACTCACTCAAGTAGGCTCATGGACTCCATTTCAGGAAACTTTTACTTAGAAATTATCAGTTTGAGAAAATGTTTAATTACAAAGGGGCATTTCGAGAACATGTCTTAAGTCTAGATGATAGAAAATACTTCGTACTAAAATACCTTGTTTGATTGACATTTAATTGATATTTTTACGGATGAACATTTATGGAATAAATCTAAATTATAAAGGATCACACATGTAATTATAAAGAACCATTTGGAAAATTTATTCTATTATTTATGTATGTTCTCAGTGGCGGATCCAGGATTATGAATGACTGGGGGCAGTATAGCAAAGCGGGGGTTCGGGGGCTCTATTTTTTTAAAATGTACTTTATATCATGATGAAAAAATTAATTTTATATCAAACAAATTTAAAATAAGAAAAACAAAATATTTTAAAATTAGTAAAATTATACTTCATCCGTCCCAATTTAATTTATAGCGCTTGTTTGGGTTTACGATGTTTGATTGAAAATCATGGCCACGCGGTTGACATGGTCCTCTAATCAAATATTTTCTTCTTATTTCATCTCTTTGATTAGGGTGATACTCTAAAAAAAATTTTCTGTCTGAAGGATCCCACGGAAGATCACTTAAATATATTTTCTTCTTAAATATATATATATATATTAAAAAACATTCACTGGAGGCAGCTGCCCCCATATGCAATGGGGTAGATCCGCTCATGTATGTGAATATTTGTAAACCGTTCATATGTTTGAACACTTTTTCAGAATCTATAGTATGCATATAGATTGTGACATAAAATATTTTATTTCACTTACTCTCTTTGTCCCTGAGTATTTCTCGTTTTTTGATTTTTTTAGTCAAAATAGGTAAATTTTGACCTCAAACTAAATAAAAATAAAATGAAATATTGATACAAAAATAGTTTTATTACATTTGTTATATCAAATGTTTTTGAAATATTATTGTATCTAATTAGTATACAATATATATTTTATTTAATTATAGGTTAAATGTTGAAAATAATTAACCGAAAAAAGTCAAAACTGAAAAAATGATCAAGGACTCGGTAAATTAACAAGGTTAAAACACTATTATTTTGAGTAAGTTCTCAACATGTTCTTTCTAACAACGTATTTTCCTAAATTAGTCCTCAATTAACAATAACTACTAACGTGGTCCTTTGTATTTGAGATGTATTTTCTAAATAGTTTTTCAGTAAAAAATGTTTATTAAATGGAAGTTAAAAGAAGGGTATTTTTGTATTTTCCATCATTTAAAATATGAATATGTTCTCAAAATGGTCCTTTCAAATTAAGTGGGTAGCTGCTAAAAGAATAGACTCACTCCAAGTAGGCTCATGGACTTC